GATCTTCTGCTTCGTCACACAGGGACTCGGTCCCTTGCCGGCACAGCATAAGCGCGCAGAGGCGAGCGACTTGCTTCAAGCCCACGCTTTTTCGGTGACACGACATTGCACCAGAGCTACATGACCAGAAAATCTCATCAACATGCGGCAGAACACAGGGCCCGGGTAGAATGATCCGAACGCTGATGGCAAGCTTGCGACAAGACTGCTGCAAGTCCGAAACCATCGTCAAGTAACCGATGCGAAAGTTTAGCATCCACTTCAGAGCATCTTTGCCGAGGAGCAGCACGGCTCCCAGCTTGAGAGCCACAAGCCTGCGACGGAGACTGGGTCTCAGTGCTGCTCATGTAGCAACTGCACGGTAGACGCTCTTCTCCGACTGCTGAAGTCACCTGCAGCGTCACGCTGGCCATCAAAAAAGTCCTCGCCGTAGCGTCTCGAGAGAAGATGGCAGCATCGCATTCGGTCTTCGTGAGCGGGCCCTCGAGCTCCTCGCACTGCTCCTCGCACCTGGCACTGGCACCTTCACTTTCTACTTTGTGCAGTTCGGCGCTCCGCAGCCTTGCCTAACACCTCGGCTCAGCGCCGCCGAGCCGTTGCCCGATCCTGGAAAACAGCGCCTGCGCTTGGCAGTTCCAAGCCACAGGGTTGCGCTCCGGCTCGCAGCCCCGCGTTTGGAGCTCCGCTTCGAGGCGCCGGCGCTCGGAAGCTTCTTCCGCTTCCGCGCCATGTCCGTGTGGCTCCACGACGTCCCGTCTCACCATGGCCATGAACTGCAACAGGACTCTCCTTGGAACTTGGCGCTCACGGATGCGCTGCTTTTGTATGCCCTTCGATCTGCTACGAGCAGACCTGCATCTGGCCCTGGGCTTTGGCAAGTTGCCGTTGGAACGCTGCTCGCACCGGATCTGATGTACGGCCTTCGCGACCAGCTCTGCACTTTCTCGTTGGGACCGCATCTCCGACATGGCGGACTCTGCGCAACTACTGCTCGGTTTGCAAGCGCTTCCCAGAGCATCCTTGCTGGCTCCTGCTGCGATCTCTGGAGATTCGCTTCAACACGGTGCTCGGAGCTTCCCCGCGCCGCCTCCTGGCTCTGCGCCACTTCGCGAGCTCTCGGCGGCCATCGTGGATGCCGCTCTGCTGAGCAATGTTTCCTCGCGGATGCGGAACAGCGGAGGTCGGCGGGCTTCGAGAATGCGCATAATACTGTGCTGGGGCCGAAAGAGCATTGAAAAACTTCCCGCTGAAATAACGAGATGCAGGCCACCTCAAACACACCTCCTCGCACACTTCAACAGGCGCCCAAAAGCCGAGGCGCGCGGCCAAGGGGCACCCTCGAGCTGCTGGCACGCCGCAGCCGGGGGAGCTGCCACTTCGCGAGCTCTCGGCGATCGCGGATGCCGACAGGGCTCCTGCAGGAAGACCTTGCAAGCCACCTCGCGCTCCCGCTCTGCTGAACAATGCTTCCTCGCGGATGCCCCGCCTCGGAGAAGCGCCAGCGGAACAGCGGAGGTCGGCGGGCTTTGAGAATGCGGGGGCCGAAAGAGCATCGAAACTTCCCGCTGAAATGATGTGATGCAGGCCACCTCACACCTCCGCTGTTCATGCCCTGCATTCTGTAGTTGCGCATGCGACGGTCGCTCCGTGAGTTGCGGATCGACTGACAAGGCGGAACCGAGAAAGATCGCGGGAGCATTTTCTTAGTCTTTGTGGCCACTCCCAGCAACTGGAGGCCTCTCACCGGACCGGCTAGTGCAGCTCAGAGATCCGTTCGCTTTTGTTGCTCCTTCAGCGATCTCCTCCGGGCGCGTTTTGTTCAGCGACTTCGAGGATTGCCGGAAGATCCCCAGCGCAGCCTGGGAGCTGCTTGGCGAAGCGGCGTGGCCTGGCCGTCGCGTTGCAGCGGAGGTCGGCGGGCTTCGAGAATGCGTATAATACTGTGCTGGGGCCGAAAGAGCATCGAAACTTCCCGCCGAAATGATGCGATGCAGGCCACCTCAAGCACACCTCCTCGCACTTCAGCAGGCGCCCAAAAGCCGAGGCGTGCGGAGAATTCCGAGTTCGGCTCTACGAGTCGTATATGCCACGATATGAATGTCCAATGATTAGACCATTTCAGCCTCATCCGCAAACAGAAACGAACTCGCGGGTTGAACGCATCCTGCAGCTGCTGCCAAGGCCAACAGCAGCCCTTCGGCGCTCTCGGCGTCGTCATGGAAGAGGCGACACGTCGGTGCAGCATACGGGTCTCTGGCAAAAAGAGCCTTGGAACCCGCCTCCTCTCATAGAACCGAAGCCTCAAGAAAGGATGCCTTTCTAAAACGCCGCGCGCAGAGAAATTCGCCTTCCGGAGCTGCTCCCAGCGGGCGGTCGACAGGAGCCAAGCCGCGGCCAGGACTGCACAGCAGAGCCTCAGTTGTGTTCTTGGGGGAAGCAGTGCTTCGGAGGTTCGTGGTTCGACCGCAGCCGTGCAAAGATTGCCAACAGCAGCCCATCAGCGCCAGCGGCGCTCTTGGAACCCTACAGAAAACCAGACGGCCTGCTCTCAAGACTTGCAGCACATGCACTACTCAAGAAGAGCATGCTATCCCGAGCACTGCAAGAAATAGCTCGCCCGCATTCACCCCATGCTTTGCTTGATCCCATGCAAGCGTCAAGAGCTTCGTGGATCAGGCAGGTTGTCCTGCAGGGCAGCACTGTCATCGACACTATCCACAACCCGGATCATGATCTATTCAATGCCACGAAAAACTGCAAAGCACCGCAACGAGCTCAAGATGCCGGACACTCCAGCTGATCCTGCACAACAGCTTGTCGATGACAAACATGATAGCAGCCTCCATGTTACCGTATTCAGCTTGTACCAGAATGGAGTTGTGGCCGCTGTACCTGCTCAGAACAAGCACACGTTGTGTTGCAGTGCAGAGCTGCAGCGCTCATACCGGTTCAAGTTTCAAGCAGTTTTGGCAAGGTAGAAACCAGGTAACAGCGCCTGGTACGTGACCGGCGTTTTGTGGCGTAGCTGAAACAGGCAATGTGCTAAAACCTAGGGCAAACGTGTATTATGACTAAAAAGTTGTGCTAGGAAAGGCGGAGAATCCCTGTGACAGGTCGATGGTTTTGGCGAAAAGGTGATGGCGCTGCAGTAAAAGCCACTTTTGCGAGCACCGCGCTGCGCAAACTTGGTCTGAGTGGACGTTAATATGGTTGACCCGTGGATGCTCTGCGTCAATGAGATCTGGTCTGAGTGGACGTTAACATGGTTGACCTATGGATGCTCTGCGTCAATAACATGGACCACCCATGGATGGTTTGGGCGACGTGGGTTGTAGCAAGTGCCGAACACACCGGAATTACCGGTGTGTTGGGCATATGACCCTAAGGAAACATGGCTTCGATCAGAACTAGAGCTTGGGCCTGCCTGCGACAGAAGTGCGCAGTTCTGGGACTTACAGGTCGGGGCTGGCCGGAATTAGCCCCCCCACCCCCCCCCCACCCCAGAAAAGTGAGAGGATGTACAGGACGCACACCAGGCGTTGTCACCAAAAACCAACCGGCGCCGGCGGAGCAAAGCTTGGGGAAGACTCCAGCTCAAAAAGGCATGATGGCTCAAAGTTCAAGATGCAGGGTTGGGCTCCCCATGGCCCCTGTCAGCAGCATGTTGGTCGTCGGCACTTGTCGCCTTCTTCCAGGGTCACTGTCGATTTGACGACGCAAGCTGCGGTGAACGGATGCGCACGGTTTGGGTCGGGGTGCTTTGGTGGATGGGGGCTTGAAGCAGGAGATCCTGCCATGGAGTGTGGCGGCGACGCCCGCTTCAATGCCGCAGTGCTTGAAAGATTGGGCATCGCCAAGTTCGCAATCGTGGTGGTAGAAGCCCCACCCTGCACCTCGGCGGCTTCCAAAACGTATCGACAGACGCCTGCGAGAATTTGTGCGCAACCCTGGACCGCGACCGCCTGCAGAATAGTTAGCCTCTCCGAACGCCTCTCTTTTCTGTTTTGGAGAAAGCACCGGCGCTCTCAGCCCTGTGCTCTCGCTGTGGGTGTCGAACCCTCTGGAAGCTGCTCTAGCGAGGGATGCTGCTGGCCTGGCTGGCACGCTCCCAGCAGCTGAAGGACCCGGAGACCCGAGAAGAACTCCGAGAGCTCCGAGCTTGGATTTTGAAGCTCTGATGCCGATGCAGTGCGTTCTTTCGGCTTGGTGTCGTGTGGCAGATGCGATAACAAGCAGCAAAATCTTGTTCAGAACAGTTCTACACCACGCAACACCAAAAGGCTACGAGGCTACTGCGAAGCAAAGCGGAAAGTAAAAGTCAACAGTGGCTTCACTCGCACTTCTCTCCTTTTCTTTCGGCTTGCCGGAAACTCGACTGCTCTGTCCTTGAAAGTGTCCGGGGTCTTTGACCTTCCGGATAGAAAGCTGAGCTGGAGCGTCAGCGGAGCAGTCGAAAAGCCCGTATCGGTTAGCAAAGCGAAAGCACAGCGAATGGATATAAGGGCTGAAGAATAAAGCAGGCAGAAGAGCGTTAGCGGGCTGTATGACTGAAAAGCTCCATGCGCTGAAAAGCTGCCCAAACAGGTGTGGGCGGGTGGGAAAGTTTTGAAAAGCAAGCAGCTGTTGCGTGGTGTATGCTTGAACCCAAGCGGGGCAGCGGGATGAGAACTGTCAAAACAACCCTGAGTGAACACAGGAACCGTTCAGAACAGTTCTACACCACGCAACACCAAAAGGCTACGAGGCTACTGCGAAGCAAAGCGGAAAGTAAAAGTCAACAGTGGCTTCACTCGCACTTCTCTCCTTTTCTTTCGGCTTGCCGGAAACTCGACTGCTCTGTCCTTGAAAGTGTCCGGGGTCTTTGACCTTCCGGATAGAAAGCTGAGCTGGAGCGTCAGCGGAGCAGTCGAAAAGCCCGAGCACGAAACTGGCAAGCCGAAACCTCGCAGACGCTCTAGAAGCCAAGTGGAGAAGTGAGGTGAGGAAGCCTGAAAGCATAGCTACTTCCGCTTGTTGGAGCCTCGGTCTGTCGGGCCCAACCTGGTGGCTGATGGAAGCTGCCACTTCAAAAATGTGTCAGCTGGAAAGAGTTTCACCTGAAAGCGGATCTGCCAGAACTCAGAAAGGTAGAGCTCGATGCGGTTTGATGGCAAGAACTTGTCAGGAAGTTCCGTGCAACCGTCCCACCGCGAAAGCAGGTCTGCATCGTGGTTCTTCTCGCCAGCGATGTGGCTGCAGTCCAAAGTGACACCGGTAATAGAGCTCCACATGGAGAGCTTGCGGACAAAAAGATTAAGTGGTACTTTAGAGGTGTAAAGCTTGTTACACACCGACTCAGCACCACTATTATCGCTCAAAGCTGGTAATGTCAAAGCCAAGCGACCAGATCCATGGGCCTTCCAGAAAGCGAGAAGCACATAGCATTGCGCAAGCGTCTCGTAGCTGGAGATGTCCAGGTTGGCATCGGGTTGCATGGGCAGACCAAGCTCCAGAAAGTCCTGCACGGTGTAGCGATGAGCAAACCAAAGCAGTCTGCCGCCTGGGAGCCGTAGCCAACCTCCAACGCCACAGTCGTTGCCCTTGCCGAATGCATCGGCTGCTGACTCCACCGAACTGGTAGGTGGTGGTCGGAGTGGTCGAGGACGCCATTCCCTGGAGCTCAAGTGGGCAAAGAAGGAAAGTGTTTCTCTGCTGGCCTCCGAAAGGCGTCGCTTCGAAGAAGTGGGGTCTGTAACACGAAGCCACATGCGTTTTGTGCTTACCGGGACCAAAGCGAGATCATTCTTGCTGTGTAGAGTTTTGTGCCGGGCTGAAAGCAAAGTGGACCCCTCAGAAATGCTGGTGCCCGGCGGTGTCCCAGTGAAGCGCAGCTTGTCGTCCAAGTATGTGTGGATACCTGGCCAGGAGCATGGGCTGATGCTTACATTTGTACCAAGTGGTCTGTGCATGTCATCGTACAGTGTGCACAGCCATGGGCGCAAAGCGGGAAGCCCGTGCAAGATCCACTGGAGTAGGCCAAGTAGTTTGTCCAGTTGTTTGCCGGTGACAAGTCGATGCCTCAGGCAGTCTTCCACCTGCGAAAGCAGCTTCAAGCGTTTTATCTCAGGCAGTGTAAAACAGCCAGCGTGGAAATCGAGCTGCCACCCTATCCAGGTTATAGAGGGGCCCATCTGCAGTTTGCGCCAGCTAAGCGGTATGTTGAAGCATGAACAGAAAGCCAAAACCAAAGAGGCGCTGAGGGGAAGTGCACGGGCGTTTTGCCAAAGAAGCAGATCATCTACGTACAACATCAGTACGTGGGCCAGCCAGATAAGTAGATGTAAGCATCGCACAAAGAAGCCTCCTAAGCGGGCAAACCAGTGGCTTGAAAAAGTGGCCCCGAAGGGACAGACACGGTAAAAGAAGAGGCGGTCCTGCTGTCTGAGGCCAAGCAGGCCTCTGTCTTGCTCCCGCACAAGTGAGGTTTTGTGCGCTCCCTTGACATCTAAGCTGAAGCCTGAAGCGGGCTCCTCGTCCTCCCTCGTCGGGAAAGCGGCCTGAATGTCCTGGAGGCTCGGTAGGGAGAACTGCTCTGGAACGTTGCAGTTTTGGTTCGTGTTGCAAATGCTGTTATCGATCACCAAGCGGGGAGCGCGGCCTGGAGCTTTAACGATGTTGACCTTACCAACTGCAACACGATCTTTTCCCCACCTTTCGTAAGCGGCCTCCAGACTGTCCATTTCCTCGATGTAGCCGGAGGACACCTCTTCTTCAATAAGCTCCTGAAGCAGGGCAGGATCCGCCTCGGCTCCTTGCCAGTTGCCTTCGCAGATAAGTAGATCTGCGGAGCTTTCCGTTTCCTCTGCACTGCGGGGACGTAGGGTGTGGCTGCGAGGGATATCCCCATCAAAGCCCGTGGGGACCCCCTTCTGCAAAGCGGGAAATAAAGTTGTGTCTTTGTCCCCCAAGATGGTGCTCAAGCGCTCAAGTGCAGATAGGCAGTATGGTTGACCTTCCTTAACAGAAAAATCCCAATCCTGAGCTGGGGAGTGAGCGTCCGAAAAGCGTTTAAAGGATCCACGCAGCCACGATGTTTCCTCTTCCGAGAAAAGTGGGCTGTTACTGCTTGCTGCAACATGTTGCTGAAGGCGAAGTGGTATCCTGTGCGAGAGAAGCCAGGACTGCCATTCTTTGCGCAAATCGTGCAAGCTGTCAGACTGGTATCTGGGGCCCATTGACCAGTCCGGCAAGGAGTAGATGCCACCTCCATCCTGTGACGCTGTAGGTGTCACTGCCCGGGGCTTCTTGGGGATCGAAGAGAGTGCGAAAGCCAAAGAACAAGTTGGAACACTGTGAGAGGGCCGGCGTGACGAGAAAAGTTGAGCCGCCTGCTGAGCAAAGCGGTTTGCTAACTGGGCCGGGTACTCCGCGGTACGCTGTGACAAAAAGTTGCCAAGCTCGTCCCTGACGCCGGCCATAGAGGGGTGGCCCTCTGAATGAGAGCATGTACCTGCCAAGGCCCGCATGTCATCGAAGCTGCATGCGAAAAGCCAAGATTTGGCTACGTTCTGGCCAACTGAGCATGCCGGGATGTTAACCAGTGAAGCTTGTATCTCAGCGAGCATGTCTTGTACGAATGGTTCAAGCCAAGACATCGCGTTCGTGGGCTGTTCCAAAGACACATGTGCACCTGAGTTGAAAGCGGCTCGAAGCAGGCATACACAGCGGTACAGAAGCTTCTGGCTGCTTAACACGCGTTCCTGCTGTGAGGACGTGTTGCCCGGCAACCCGTTGAGATGCTCCGGGGATCGGATAGCAGCTGGTCCCCCGGGGCGTAGCTTCAAGCGGGAATACTCTTTGCATGGCGGAGAGCCATGAGCAAAGCGTACAATGCCTGAGAAGCATAACCGAAGGAGGTGGTCGTACGTGTCGTCGTGCAAGAGGTCCAGCTGCTCCTCACCAAGCAGATCAATGGGCAAACATATGATGCCACATGATGAGATCGCCGTGGTAAGTGGGTGAGAGGCACCACAGCAGATATCTAGGAAGATCTCGACGTGCGTGTTGTCCTTCAGTTCAGGGGGTGTAGCCTGAGGAAGTGATGTAGGTACCGGAGGCAATGGGAACCCCAGTGACCTTAAATGTGCCAGCGACTTCGTGTCGAAGCTGTGCAGGTTCCTGCAAGTGTAGGCAGTCAATACCCACCTGTCTCCTTGGATTGGCATCGTGCAGTGGAGGGATTCACAGCTAAAGGAAAGCGGTGAATGCCAGGTGTCGCGCAGTTCACCTTTGCCTGCATTGTCGGCTCTGTGGGCCTCGGATGAGGCCTCCAAGGGGGCCGGGACGTTGGCAGCCGAAGGGTCCAAAGCTGGGTTAATCCAGACCTCACCTCCGCTGAAATTGCCGAGTGAAACTGTGTGATTGAGTGTTCCTGAAGCGTTGCCAGCATCCGTATGTACGCGAGTACGAACATTGTGACTCACGCACAAGGAGCTCCAAGAGGCACCCGGGAACTGAAGCTGCATGAAAGCGTTCAAGAAACGAAGTACATCGGAAAATTGTTCAGTGCGCTGAAATATCCCCGACCTGGTGCCGTTGTCAAAGGAGAAAGCTCCCAGGTTGAAATATGCTCCGGAAGCGTCAATGGCATTGTCGGTGGGGCCTGCGGCATCAATGAAGGGAATGGAAAAGTACTGCGCTAAAAGCTCCAAGCAGGTAGCGAAGTCGAGGGAGCCTTCACTGATTGCCAAAGATGCACTGGATACTGGGGCACTAGCCTTGGGCAGTGCCGAGGTTGCCCCTGCTGAACCTGATGGTTGAGCAGGCACTGAAAGCGGGACAACTGTGACCTCCTCAGCGATGTCCCGCTGGTCGCTGAAGTGGGTTTCCTAGTGCGGGGTAGCCACATGCTGAGAAGCTGGGTGATTACCCCCGCAAGCGGTGCCGTCACTCTTGGGCACTGCGCATCTGTGCAAATAGCGGCACGTGGCTGGGTCCTTGCATTGACCGCTCTGGTAACGCATGCAAAGAGTCTGGCGCTTGCCATCCATGAAGATGGTTGAAAGCCATTTTCCGGGAGGCGTCGCCTGCTTGTTGTCCTTGCCTTTGCCACCTTTGCCGCCTCGCTCGAAGCGCTCTCCCTTCTCGCCTTTGCCATCGCGGCCTTTGCCGCCACGGCCCCCGCCTTTGCCTCCACGGCCATTGCCTTTGGAGCCGGCCTTCCAGCTGTTGTCCGGGTCGTTCTTGGGTTTGGGTATGAATGGCCTGGGCGCAAGTAAGCTGTGCAAATCAGATCGCACCTCCGCCACCTCGTGAAGCGCATCATCTAGCTTCCAATGATGCACATTGACTAAGTCGGCGATGATTTCCCAACATCGGCGATCAGCTGCCTGGGCTTCCATCGTAGTGGGGCCCCGTAGGCTGGCGGAGGCCTCGTATTTGGTGAAGCAAATGCGGGTGAACTTTTTGTTGTAGAGTTTAAGGGAGCCTAGGTGTGCCCCCTGGCATAATGCGATCGCGTTCGCAGCAAGTGAGAGAAGCTGTGTCACGAAGCTGAAAGAAGCGGGGCCTTCATGTATATCCCGGGTCGGAGCCTCGTCGAAGAAGAACTCCGCGAGGTCAAAGCGGGCCTGTTTCTTGGGCCTGATAAGCAGGCTGTCTTCTTGCGCCCTTGCACTTAAGCGGTACTTCCAGGGAATCCATCGAACTTCCTTTTCTGAAAGCATCTTATTGGTAAGGCCTGGTAAGGGCCAACAAGCGGGCGCTCGGAAAGCTCTCGGCATCGAGGAGTTCAGTGGGGTAATCCTCCTCGAACCTTTTCCTAAGCGCTGCGGTGCGTTCGCCGCTGAGTTTTGCAGGCCAGGCCTCCTGCCATGAGCTGGAAAGCGGGACTGCGGCTGGAGCGGTTGGCACAGCCGTTGAAGGCGCTTCTCCAAGCGGGAGAGCAGCGCTGGACGTGGCTTCTAAGGATGCCATGCCCTCTGACTGTCGACACTTGAAGAAGAGTAAGCGCAGCGACGCTTTGGTGATGAAGCGTTCCGCTGCTTCTGTGACCGAGGCTTCGGCCATAAAGTGGTTGACCAATTCTTCTAGCTCTGCCGAAGTGGTGCAAGCACGTGCGTACAAAGCAGTGTCAAACGCCGAGAGCAAAGAGGCCACCGCAGGAGGCACGTTGCAGTCCGATACGAGCTGCGCGAAGTCGGCCATGGTGAAGAGACCTGAGCGGGATGAGTGGCTGATGTGAAGCGGGATGTGAAGAACTCTCAGGCGTGGGCCTCGGCGATGATCGTCCTGCGCGGCACACAACAAAAGTTAGAGGCTTCAAATGTGCACCTGTGGCCTGTAGCGAGGCAGCGAGAGAGGCCCCGAGCGGGAGAGAGCTGTGCTTGACCCAAGCGGGGGAGACAGGTGATGTCATGGTTCTGAGCGAATCAAAAGCGGAGGCACACTTCGATGCAATTGTCCGAGCTTGCCGCCTATTTTCCAAGCGGGAAGCGGTGCTCGAGATGTCTGGCTTACGAAAGCCGAGCTCCAGCGGGCTCACAAGCCCAGCGGGGTCGCCCGTGTACAAATTGGGTCGACCCAAAAGCGGGCGATTCAATGCCGAAGCTTAAAGAGTGGGGGGCAGCGTGGACTTCACTGATGCTGCCATGCCCGTCCAGACCAGTTCCAGGAGCTCCAAGCGGGCGAGTCCTCCCAAGCGGTCTGGCTCTGGCCCCACTCATCTTGGCCGTGGTTCCACTGTGAAGTGGCCTCCTGGCGCTCACGCCCACGAGCGCGTTTGCAGTCTCTGCATAAGTGGTTCACGTGGAAGCTGTTGGATCTGTCGCTGAATGTCGCCTGACAGTGTCCCTGAGCGCATTGGGAACACTGGCGGCGGCATGCCCACAATTGAACCAGCTGCAAAGTGGCCCGGCCTTCGCTATCATAGATAGTGTGTCCCAATCGGGAAGCTGGGGCGTCACTAGCGAGAAGCGGGGCTATCTCGCGCTGTGGTGTTGAAGCGGGCGGCTGTTGCCCTGTGTTTCCCGAGCTTCCGCCCGTGGTGCCCTCCTCCACAAGCGGCGGTGGCGGGGCCTTGGAAGCGGGAGGGGCGCTGGGCTTAGCCGCCGGGGGCGTAGTGGCCGCCGAAGCGGGTGGAGCGGGCGTAGCCATGCTCTTCGACTTCAGCAGCGGTGCCCCGGCCTTTGGAGTGGTCGACGCCAAAGCGGGCGATGAAGGAGGTCGCGGCGGCGGTTCCTTGACTTCGGGTTCACGTTGCCAGCGTTTGGCGTTCGTGACCCCGTCACCCGTGGCCTCGGCGTTGGCCTCGTCTCCCTGAGCAGCTGAAGTGGCTCCCGTGGGGGCGCGCTCACCACTGGTGGCTGCTTTAGGCTCCGCTGGTGCCTCCAAAGTGGGTGCAGCAGGCGAGGGAGAAGACGTAGAAGCGGCCGGTGTCCCGTAATCTTCGGCAGCAATAAAGTCCCCTATGGGGTCGACCACGGTACTCGAAGCAGGCTGCTCCGAAGGTGCTGCTGCCAAAGCGGGTGCCGGCGTTGTGGAAGGAAGAAGCGGTTCTCCTTCCATTCGCCTCAAAAAGTGGGCCTTCTCATCCTCGTTCATGCTTTTGAGGAGGCTGAACACGTAGTCGGGGGACAATTTGGCCATGACCCACGCTGGAAGTAAAGCGGGATTATGTTTCATAAGCTGATCTCGAGCAAGAGCTTATGGAATAACATTTCACAAGCGCGAAAAACAGGCTGTGGCACAGAGTCATGACCCAGAGGTACAAGATGTATCGTTGTTTTTCTCGGGAGACGCTCAAGCTACCTCCAAAGACGCTATGATGCATGCCCTCCGCTTACATAAGCGGGAGTCAGGCGGAAAATGCACAAAAGCGGAAAATTCTGAGATGCATCCACAAGCGGGGTGGCATCGAACCTGGCAGTGGGCATCCTTGCACGCCAAGCAGGTCATGCGGGAGCCGGGGTGGGAGATGCTGAAGTGTGCCACCCCGGATGCTCCTAGCAGATACCGCACCTCCCTGCAGTTTGTGCGGGAAGTTTGCAAAGAGGGAGCTTCAAGCGGCTGCTCCTCGTGCGACACACTAAGCCCCTCGCTCGTTTCATCTTGCCATGTGGGGTCGACCTCCAAAGTGGAGGCGACCATCGCTGAAGCGCGAGCCGGGCCTGGATCATCAGCATCTGAGTCCTCGAAGTGGTCGACCTGCGCCCGGGCACGAACACAAGAGGGAAGTTTGGGGCCTGACCGTGTAATCGTCGAGCATGACTCTCGGGCTTCGCGAAGTTCGCCGTCCTGTTGTTCCAGGGCCAGGAATGATTGGAAATCACTGCCAAGCGAGAAACATGTAAGGTCCGGGAGGAATGCGTCCCATTGGAACCCCGCCGTCTCGAAGAGGGGCTCGGCAAGCGGTGATTGTCCACCTCGGTGTTGCGGCCTGGCAGGACGGAAGCCGGAGTGGATCGACCGCCACAAAAGAAGCTGCGCTCTCAGGGCTGGCCATACGTCGTCCCGTGAATAAAGCTGGGCAGAGCCAGGGGTTTTATGATGTCCCTGGAGAAAGCGGGACGCCAGTGGGATAGAAAGCTGAGACATCCACGAAAGGAAGGTCGTCTTCAAGCTGTGAAGCGTATATTGAGAAGCTTGGTGCGGCTCTATCCCTGAAAGCGTCAGCCAGTGGCGCAACTTCTGAAGGGCCTGTGAATAAGTGGCCGGAGCAAAGCCTACATCACTTAAGAGGAAAAACATGCAGTCTGGCTCCGGCTGGGCCCCAAAGCGGGAGCGGAGGTCGGACCAGACCTTGTCCAATGCTCCAAGCCAGCGGGGGAGCCAAGTCAGCCCCCATTCCTCAGCGGACGAAAAGGGGCCGAAGCTGAGAAGACCAAAGGGGCATCCGCCTTTGGTGGTCTTGGTTCTGTAGCATATTCCCCTTAAAGTGAAATGACTCACACAAAGTGAGCTCCAGCGGACGTGCTGGGCGTCCGCGAAGCGGAGGCTCGCGCCGATTGCCACTAAGAACGACCCCGCCCAGATGTTGTCCATCAAGCTGGCTGTGCCTGAAAGCAGGGTGCGCTCAAGGAAGGCCACAAAAGAAAGCGGCAGTGGTATGCTCTCTCGTTTCTCCTGGCCAGACGGGTTGGAGAGGAGACTGAAAGCGGTGCCGTACAGGTCTGGGAGGCATGAAAGTGAAAGAAGCTTCTTGTACCAGCGCAGCGCCTTGAGCACATTGATGCTGTTGGAAAGGGGGCCTGGTTCGAAGCCTCGGGATAAAGCGAAGAAAGCATCAAGAAAGAGACCTTGGTCGATGGACTCCATGTTGCCACCCAGCTCCTCAAAGGCACAAAAGAAAAGCTGGACTGAGCGAAGGTAGCGGGCCGCCGTGGTGTCACTGACCTTGCTAAGCAGCCGAGACTTGATCACCGCGCCCTCGCGACTCCCTGAAAGCTGTTGCAGCACCTCACTGTAGGCACCATGCGATGCACAAAGCTGATCGAAAAGGACCTTGTTGCGTTCATCGCACGCCTGATGGTTATCCTTGCTGGTGACCAAGCCGGCGACCGGCTCACGAAAGGCAGGCGGGTGTAACTCTGAAGGTGCTCGCAAAGCTGTTGTTGAGGGCTGAACTGGTCTCGGCGTTGCCAGGGAAAGCGATACCTGAACAGGAGAAGGCTGCTGCATGGGGTAGACAGCATAAGCCGAAGCGTCCTGAAAGTGCGGCAGTGCCTTCGCCGTCGGGAAGATCTGGGATGTAGACTGCTGAACAGGCATGGTGTTAGGGGCTTGCAGCGGAGTGGGGAAGGGAGCGCAGGGGCGGAGCCGAGCAACTGTAGGCTGGCGCCCGTTGTGCCCCACCTGAAAAGGGGAATTGTATCGCAAGCACACCCTGGGAGCCCGCCAAGTGGGTGCCTTCGGAGTAGCAGTCAAGCTGGGTCTAGGAGGGGTGGATCGCAATGGCATAAGCAGAAATGTCGAAGTTTCTGAAGGCCACCCATGAAAAGATGCATTCTCGGGCACCGGCTGATCCTGCGGTACAAGCTGCCACGATTGTTCTCCGCTGGAAGCACCTGGGGAGTTTTCCATAGGCAAGGGAGGGGTGGCCGGGGCACAGTGTGCTTGATGCATCCAGCGGCGGCGAAGTTTACTCCTGGGCTCAAAAGCTGCCTCTGCATCTGACTCAGCAACCTCGAAAGTGGGTGCCGAAGCTGAGGGTACTTGAGTAGGGTCCTCCGGGTCCGCAAAATCAGCAAAGCGATTACGAAAAGAGGCCCTGAGTTCCAAAGCGTCAGCATCAGTGCAGAAAGGCGAAGAATCGGCCAAAAGTATATCCGTAGCCACCCTGCTAGACGGCAAAGCAGGTGCATCACCACCGACCATGTCAGAAGAGGCCATACTTAGAACCAGATCCGAAGACGGGCAACAGTCTCGGAAAGCGTGTCACGAAGCAGGGTAACCAGGGCTCGCAACCTGATAGAAAGCTTCTGTGTGACCTCCTCCAAGGAAGTGGCCCTGTCTGCTAGGTGCAGGAGCCAGTTGCGGCCTTGATGTACCTGAGCCTCCAGCCGGTTGACCCTGCAGTGCAAGCGGGAAATTTCCGCACACTGAGCAGCCCCCGCAGCCTCCAAGTCAATAAGCCTATCGATCAGTGATCTGACCTCTGTAGTCAGTTGTAGCTGCAGCTGAGGGCGAGAAGCGGCCGGCTGGCTATCCATGCACAGGGCTGGCTGAACGCACTTAGCTTAAAGCTGCTGAAAAGTAGTCCTGACAGCTAAAAGCATGATCAGAAGCAAAGCTGAAAAGTGGAAAGCTGAAGCTAAAGTTTTGAAAAGCAAGCAGCTGTTGCGTGGTGTATGCTTGAACCCAAGCGGGGCAGCGGGATGAGAACTGTCAAAACAACCCTGAGTGAACACAGGAACCGGCCGGCCCACTTCCACGCTCTCGTAAGGTGTTGATCCGACCCCGCCGTGCCACAAGCCGCAGAGAACGAACGGCACTCTGCATCTCGCCTTTGAACCTTCTTGGCGGACGCAATGTTCATGAGATGCCGCCGCTTCCACCGCTTTGTGAAGTCGAAGTTCCTTCCAAGAAGTCGAAGTTCCTTCCAAGCGGCATGCTTGGATGCCAGGCGGACGGGAGACCTCTTTTTTTTTCGCACCTTTTTGCTAATTACTGCAAGTCCGACGAACGTCCAGGTCCCTGTGCAACCTGCGGACTACGGATTTTTTTTGTTTTTTTTGCGTCCCAAGCTAGGCGGTCCCAGTGCAGACCCAAGTCCAGGCCAACTGCGCTACAGTGTCTAAGGCATGCGGCTTGCAAGGGGCGGCTCCAGGCAGGAGTCTGCGAGTATGTCGCTGAGTAGCGGGGATTCTCCATCGACATTGGCAGTGCCACCAAGGGGCAAGGAGAGGAGGCTTGCTGCAAAGGCTCGGGCAGCTGCAAAGGAGAGCAAGGCCAACCATCGAGAGGCAAAGGCCGAAATGCTGGGACCTCGCGAGGCAGCCGGCACGGCCCTCGCACGGAGGCGAGCAAGAAATTTGACAAAGGTGGCCGCTTCAGTGCTCCAGCGGCCGCCGAGCTCGAGAGCGAGGACGACCAGCTTGCATCGGGCCTACTGTCGGAGCTCAGGGTAGGTGCGCTCCTTGGCTTTGCGCGCGAGTGCGAGTGCAGCGCCGGCAGTGCGGCCGGCAGCCCTGCGAGGAGGACCAGCAGAAGTCAAAGGGGACACGAGTGTAGTGTCGACTGCGAGTTGCGAGCCACCCCAAAGTGCAAGTCCATTTGCAATGACCTCGATGCGTCGCTCATCCTGCCGGGCGACATCAACGTTGAGGTCGCGAAGCCGGACGTTGAGGGCCGGCAGATGCGGGCGGCAGCACGCTCAAGAGGCCCTCCCCTGGCACGAAGGACGCCTGACCGAGGACATGCAGCGAGGTGGTCCCCGAATGGGTCATGCAGTTGCCGGCAGCGGCAGCGCGCAGAAGTCAAGGGCAAAGGCAGGCGAAGCCGGTGGAGGAGCAACACACGGAAGAGCGGCGAGCTGAGGGACAACTCAGGCGAGACCGGTCTGGTGGTGAAGACACTCGCGGCATGCGGGCCCGACTGCGAGTCCAGCATCGCAAGGCTTGGGGCATCAAGCTCACGGCGGATGGCACGGTGGCAAAACTCATCAACTGTGCGTGAAGCCGGGCGCTGCCACCCACGTGTCAGGTCGGCGGGGTCGTCCTCAGGCGGGACAGGGGGCACCGCCGAAAGCACAGCTTCCCACGTGGGGGCCTGGAAGCCTGCAGCTTGCAGGGACGCGGTGGCATCCTTTAAAGCAGCTAGGGCGTGAGGCAGCGGCCCGGGGCCATCCAAAGAATGCGCGAGGGTGTGAGCGAAGGCACGGTCTCGACGCGCAAGGGCGGGTAGCGCATCGGCCCAAGATGCCCAGTACGCCGCGACAGCATGGCGCTCGGCGCTACGAAGTCCAAGTCCACCGTAGCTCAGCGCGAGTTGGGCACGTGCGGCAGCCAAAGCTGGCAAGCCGGAAGCAGCGTCGCATGCAGCAGGGCATCCAAGCAACAAAGGACAGCAGCGTCATGCCCAGCGGCGTATACGCGCGTAACCTCTGGGGGCAGTGTGCGCAGCACGTACTGTGCACGAGGGGCAGCACAGAAAAACAACAACAGCCACGCAACCTGGGTGTCAGCAATGAGCAAAAAGCGGTCGAGGAGGACCCTTTGCTTGGCGAGCAAGGTCTCTAGGAATGCAGCAACGAACTCCGGAGTGCCAAAGGGTACTCCAAGTGCGACAAAGCCAGGCTGAGCAGAATCCAAGGCCAGGCTGCCGACCCAAACGTCGCTATCGGGCGCTAGCGAATCGGCACCATCAGGGCGGACCCCGACGCTGTTCCAAACACGTGTCTTACCAGGGTTCAGGCGGAGCCTCGCACGATTCATTGCATGCCCTTCGAACCGGTGGTAAAGCTGGAGCGCTCGGTGAGGTGGAGCGAGGATGTACGCGTCATCGAGGAAGGCCAAGGCTTGCTCTCCAGGGCGGAGGTCTGCATGGAGGTCGCGCAGGGCAGGCGAATAGTGGCGGCATGAGCGGGTCACCTTGTTCGCCGCCCTCAGCTTGGGTGATGCGGTGCGCCTGGGAGCCAGCCGCCCAGACGTACACAGACTCACGGGCGTACCAGAGGCGCACAAACGGCAACAGGGCTGAGGCTTGCGGCACTTCGCGCAATGCGGTCAACATGGCCTCCCGGCTAACAGTGTCATAAGCCGCCGAGATGTCAACAGACAGCACCGTCAGGTGAGGATCAGCTTGAGTTTTGGCTTGCAAGGTGTGGAGGAGCGCCTCCGCTCCTGTCCTCGTCGAAAGTGCATACTGATGCGGGTGGCAAGCTGCGTCAAGCTGCAGCGAGAACTGTTGAGCCAAGGTGCGAGCGACAAATATCCGCAGCAGATCGCCCACAACAAGCCCACGGGCGCCCCCAGAGGGCTTGCGTAGAGCAACGAGCCGGCCCAGGGCTATTGCAGCAGCAATCGGTGCGGGCACCTTGGCACGGGCAAGGAGGGTTGCGACATCCCCAAACGCAAGCGCGTGGGTCGGCGGGCGGGGTCGGTCAGCTCGCGCAAGGTGGATTCCGAGGGAGGGGCGAGGGGTTCGGCAATGAGGGCTTGCCTTGCTGCAGACAGTTCGCCCAAACGTGCAAGGTGGGCAGCACGCTCAGCACGCCTAGCAACATCATCACTGGGCGAAGCGCTGTGCAGGCCGACCGCACCAGCCTCGTCGAGGGCAGCACGCAACAAGCTGCCCCAGTCGCCTCGGAAAAAGCGTGTCTATCGGCAGTGCCGAGCGAACCAGCACTAACCCTCGCCCCGCAGGACATGCAGCTCGCGTTGCGGCGCCGCTTGCGCTTACCCCTGCCGCTTAGCCCAAACCGTTGCGGCCCCAGCCCTGGCTGTGGGCAGCAGGTGGACGAGTACGGGGACCATGCCCTCGCCTGCCCCCGCACAGGGTTGTTGGCTCGCCGAGCAAAAATCGTCGAGCGGGCCTGGGCGCGCGTAGCCCGCGAGGCGGTCGGCTCTGATGGGCAAGTCGTCCCTCAACAATGGCTCGTGCACACTACCGCACCGGGCGTGCCAGCTGACGACCGCAGACGGCTCGACTTAGTCGTCTACGGCGCCACGCCGCGGGGAGGCGCACTGTGCTGCGATGCGACTCTCGTCTCACCTCTTGCACGGACGGGGCATCCACAGCCGGGAGCCGCTGATACGGACGGGGCCGTGCTCAGGGTAGCCGAGCGCCGCAAACGGAGCACCTACCCGGAGCTTTGCAGCGGAGGACCGCAAGAGCTCGTTGTTCTGGGCTCGGAAGTTGGCGGGCGCTAGAACAGCGAGGCTGGCCGCTTCGTGCAGCACCTCATCCGCGTCCGGTCCCAAAGAGCTCCGCCAGCTCTTCGCCGCGCGGCCGCTGCGGGCTGGTCGCGCCGTTGGTGGGGCTTGCTGGCTGTTGCCGTGCAGCGGGCGGTCGCCAGCACGGCACTGGGGCAGGCTTGGCCAGTGCCGCTCCACCCGCGCCAGGGGGATGAGCCGCCCCTCGAACGAGTGCTCGAGCTCGCCGGACCGGCGGCGGGCCCTAGTCGCTTGCCGCTGCGCTCGTAGCAGTTGGCAGCGACGCTCCTACGTAGCCGTAGTGGCGGTAGTCAGCCTGCCTCTGGCAGCGTCCGGGGACAGCCACCTTGCGGGCGGAAAAGAGGCGCGTAAAAAAAAAAAAAACCTACCCGGAGCTGCTCCGTGCACGCCGTTGCCGACTCGTTGTGTTCGGCATCGAAACAAGGGGCGGTGGTCAGCGCGCCGTCGCTGCATCCCTCCTCGTGCTCCCTGCTGACTCTGAACCTGGTGCTGCTGGCGAACCTGCTCTGCATGAGGTTTTGGCCGACGCACGCTGGCTCGTTGCGCCAGAGCCCAGTCGCTTGCCGGCTCGGATCGCCTAAGCTTGTGCGTAGCGTTCCCCTCGGCCCGCCGTAGTCTGCAGCCTTGTGCACCGGGACCGCTTTGACTTCTGGTAAAAAAGTGCGTGAGAAAAAAAAGAAAAATGCCGCGAACCTGGCGAGCAGTTGATGTTTCGGCACCTTCGGTGATTGCGCAGGTCGGAACAACAGCATGCGAGGCAGAAACAACCACACTTTCAAAGCACGGGCGAGGGCTGGGGACGCCGGCATCTCGCTGGAGGGATTGGCCCCCGACCTCGTTTGGGATCTCAAGTTAAAGGGTTGTCCAAGTCTGGTCATAGAAACCTTTGGAGCCTTGGGTTTTGCTTCACGATGCCGCGCATGGTGTGGATGTCTCAGCTTGGTCATGTGCCGCCAGAGGCCTGAAGTTTCCGCAGCCATAACTTCGGCTGATGCGCCGCTTTTTGAACCTACATCTCCAATGCTGCCTGGCTTCCGCGACATCTGCAAGGCCTGCCGAAGCACCTCCTCACAGCTGCCTTGTTGTCTCGCCACGAGCAGGCGAGTGGTAAGAGATGCATGTAGAGCCGTACACATACCGAGCTGGCCGTCAATTCTGACTGAGCTGCTTCCACCCCTACATGACGCATCCTGAAATGCTTTGCCCGAAAACACCCAACTTGCATAACTGTCATCCAGGGTGGCGCCCAAACGCTCACAAGTTTCGAGTTGTCGTGGGAAGCGATCGAAATACAGTACAGGGTGACAGAATGGGACTTCAGGAAGGGTTCCAAGATGAGAGTCTCTTCCGTGATTTTCGAACACATCGGGGTGGAAGTGGGCGTCCAGGTTGGACGCCAGGATCCTCTCGAAGCCCTGTTTGTTGAGGCCGCGGGCCTCGATCTATGACAGTCTGGTCGCCTCCTGGCAATGGGGGCACGTCTGAGTGGCTTGCTGCCGACGTCAAGCCAGATGCGGCGTGTATCATGGTGCAGCCCAAGGCAACACAGCGGCCTTGCGTCCAAAGGGGCGGATGCCAGGAACAACGGCTTGGAGAATTCTGGGGGCCTCATTGCAGGGGTTGAAGCGAAGGGACTGGTCGGAATTCCGTTGCAGTGGCCGAGTCCGTGAGCAAATTCGCGCACTGGAGCTACCAGCTCCTGCTTGCCGTAGCTCCTGCTTCTCGCTACAGGGGCCCCTAGTATTGGTAGACTGTTGGTAGGTAGCCGGGACTTCTAGAGCTCGATTCTTCTCTAGAGCCTCTCCTTCTCCAAGGTCCCTCCGCTTCGAGAGGTCTCTCCTTGTCTAAAGCCGCTCCGCTTCTAGAGCTCGCTCCTTCTCTAGAGCCTCTCCGCTTCTGGAGCTCCCTCTTTTTAAAGCTCTCTCCGCTTCTAGAGCTCTCTTCTTCTCTAAGCCTTTCCGCTTCTAGAGCTCTCTCCTTCTCTCAAGCGTCGCCGCTTCTGGAACTCTCTCTGTCTCTGGAGCCTCTCCGCTGCTAGAGCCTGTCCTTCTCTAAAGCTCTCCGCATCTAGCTCTCTCCTTCTCCAGAGCCTCTCCCGCTTCTAGAGCTCTCCCCTTCTCTAAAGCGTCTCCGCTTCTGGAGCGCTGTCCTTCTCTAAAGCCGGTCCGCTTCTAGAACTCTCTCCTTCTCTAGAGCCTCTCCCCCTTCTCTGTGTCATGGAAGCCACAGCTTCTCGAGAAGCATGCATGGTAAGCCCCCGGTGGGAACGGACGCATCACTCAGAATTGCAGCAAGCGTACCATCACGATCCATCAATCAGAATTTCATTCATCTCTCTCCCCGTCTCTTTCTGTCTGAGCTGAAGCTGGTTGATCTGTTTGACACGTTTGGATGGCTAGCTTCGATGGAGTTCCTGGGTAAACACGGGGATCCAAATGGCCGTAAGGATGGCTTTGAAAACGGCACCGGGGTAACCGATTCCGGGCCGATGCTGGCTGGAATCCCTGCAAGGTACATTACGGTACAAGGATTTCAGCCGGCTGGAATCCCTGAATAACTGGCTGAATTTGGGCTGAAGGGTTTGGGATTTCAGCCAGGAGCAAGCAAGGGGGATCTGAAGGCAGGTTGCTTCGTGAAGCGCTGCTAAACCGAAAGCTTGTCAATATGCACTCATGACCGCGAAGATCGGGGGCAGTGCCATGCCCGCCGGGTTTATAGTCAGATATGAGGGCCTCCGATCCGAGCGTTCGCAGCAGCATTCGCTATCTTTTTTTTTTTAACACCTTTTTGCGACCGCACGAAGAAAAAGCTGTCCGGTCCCCGTGCACACTGCATTCTACCGAGAAAGGAGTGCTTTGCGGTGGTGAAGGACACTACCGCGCAGGTAGGCGACTGGCGTGCGGCGGGCTGTCTAGCCGGTGCTCGGCGAGCACGTCACTGAGGTCAGGGGGAGGGCCATCGACGTTGGCGGTGCCGTGGAGGGGCAGCGACAAGAGCGAGGCTGCAAAGGACCTGGCAGCGGCAAAAGCGAGAAGCCCAGACCATCGCTGGACCCATGCTGCAGTGCTGCTGGCGCGCAGGTGAGGGGGTGCGGATCGTGCTCGGCAGCGGCGTTTTCGCCAGTGACAGGTGGTGCGATGCCCAATCAGGTAGTGCTTGATGTGGCTCAGTTTCAGCAGATCCTGCAGACCATGCAGGGGCAAAGTCAGGCTGTTCTTGCAGCGGCAGGTGCGGCGAGCACGAGTAGGAGCTCAGGGACGCAGGGCTTTAGTGATGCGAACCGCATATTGAATAGGCCCGCATGCTTTGGGAGCACCTCGCATGACAGTGACTTAGGGTCGTGGCTTGATTGGGCGCATGCCTTCAAGGCCTGGCTAATCTTTGCTGACCCGCAGTATGAAATTGAGCTTCAGGCAATCGAGTCAAATCTTGATGTAGAGAACCCCACCATGCCAGCTGAAACAGCAGAGCGGTCGCGTCGCTTGTATGCAATACTGAGCAGCCTGCTGCAGCACAAGCCGAAGATGCTGTTACGACAAGTGCCGGACCGCAACGGCTATGAGACCTGGCGGCAACTGGTCAACATCTACGCACCGCGATCGAAAGTGCGAGGACTTGCATTGCTGAATGCCATCATGTCGTTTCCCCCGTTTGTGAAAAGCAAAACGACCAGGGAGCAGGTTGATGGTTTGGACCGCCTTGCCCAGGAATATGAAAGGGTCTCAGGAACGGCTGTGAATGCCGATATTCTCCTTGGGACTTTACTTCGGGTTTTGCCGGCACACTTGAGAAACCACATTCAGCTTCAGATGAAGAGTGACACCAGCTATGAGCAGGTCAAGCAGTTCATCCTGACATATGAAGTGACGACCAGCAACTGGTCGGCGTCCAAAGTGCAGCAAAGCTTAGGCATAGGCCCTTCGGGTGACCCTAGTGCCAGTGATCCCGCACCCATGGATGTAGATCGGGTCGCTAAGGGGAATCCTAAAGGCGGCAAGGGTGATGGTCGTGGAAAAGGTGGTCGAACTCCTCTAACAAGGATGAAACCTTTATTTCCAAAAGCAAATTTCGTTTGAACGAAATTAGTGAAAACTTTTACTTTTGAAATTTTTCCTGCTGTTCGGCATGACTCCTTTTTTTTTGAGTGCATGACGATCATAGCCTGAGGTGTTGTACGATGTCTTTGTTGCCGTGCATGCATCCTCAAGCTTTGCGAGCAGGAAAATTTTTGTGTGGGGGCCTCGTAAGACCCGCTAGCATAGTGTGAGTTCCGGGCCTGATTGCTGGCACTCCCGCGAAGGAAGTGGTGAGTAGCCCTGAGCGAAAGTTCGGGTGAAAGCTGCGAGCGGAGTGAGTTGTCGGATAGGGCTGGCGGACACTCCACGACACGTCTAGTGGTGTACGGGCTCCTCTAAAGGCCTCCTGTGTCGCTAAACCTTAGTGCCGGGCCGGGGCGGGCTTCGCATGGAATACGAGGACAGTGAGTCTTCCGATTTGGCTAGTACCTCGGCGAGCTCTCACTTTAGCGATCTGAGTTTTGATTGCGTATTTGCTTCGGGGCCGGTCTGCAAAGTTCGGGTGACAATCGCGCTGTGGAATTTTCTGGACCCTGCGGGACGCGCCGCTTTGCTGACCTCGAGTGCTGCCACGCGCAGAGATTTCTTGGAAGAAATCCTCTTTGTGGCGCTTAGGGCTGGCTTACGGCCCCTGCCGTGAAACTCTTCGCTGCGTCGTGTGGTCGCTATGGGGGCAAACACGCCCGACTTCGCAGAGGAGGTTCGCTCAGCCTGGAATTCCTTGCGTCCTCAAGAGCCCGAAGACCCCTTGAGTACTTTGCTGCCATCCTGTGACTTGTTCAAAGATTTCAGTGCTTCAGCCCTCTGCAGACCCGCTGCTACAGATCGCCCGGTGGATGTGGAACTTCGTAAGATTCTGCAGCCGAGCATTGCTGGCAGGAGGTTATACCTGCAATGTGTGCAAAACATTGAGGTTTTGTCTTGGAAGGAAGCTTTGGATTGTCAAACACAGAAAGCTATCAAGAGGTGGTATAATTTGGTCTTGCTTTGGAAGTCGGAGCTTCTGGTGGTAAAGCAAGTCTCCAGTGCCACTGTGGTGGAAGGCATGGACATCTTGGCTGATTACTTGAGACCAAAGGCTCCTAGTACTTTGAACAAGAGGGCCTCGTCTCTTTTCTTGCTTGACAAGTTGCTCTCGGAGGAAGGGCTCCTTTTCCCTCCTGACGAGCAGCATTTGTATGATGCCTTGTGCAAGCTACGTGCCAAAGGTAAGGCCCAGTCCGGACGGAAGGGCATCCTTGAAGCTTTGAACTTTTGCTACTTCGTCTTGAACATTGAAGAGTGCGAGGAGCTGGTTTTTAGCAGAAGGTGCCAAGGAGTGTGCTATGTTGAGCCGCGTGCACGGGTCAACCAAGCTTCGCCTTTAATTCTCCTTAGAGGAAGTTTTGGAGTTGCATGGGATAGTACACCAGGCTTCTGACGACTGGGATGCAGTTTTTGCTGGAGCAGTGCTGACCGCCATTTACTTGAGGTCACGATGGGCTGATTTGCAGTGCTGCGAGGACTTACAATTGGACCGCGATGCCGTGGGTCGATTGTGTTACATCGATCTGATCACCGGGCATCACAAGTCAATGCAGTCGAGACAGCATCGACACCAGTTCTTGACTATGACCGGGCCGTGCGTTGGGGTCACATCGAACCAATGGGTTGAACGTTGGCTTTGCCGGTGCGAGGCCGTGGGTTTCAAGCCTTGCACAGGTGGATGGCCAGTTATGCCTGCGCCTGATGTTACGGGACGGCCGACGGTGCGTCCGCTTTCGTCAGGTGAGATGACAGCTTGGATCAGGAAACTCCTTCCGGGCGCGGCGGAGGCCGACAGAAAGCTGTCCAGCCATTCTGCCAAGTGCACGTTGCTTTCTTGGATGGCGAAATTCGGAGCATCCCAAGATGTCAGGGCGTGTTTGGGATATCACGTGGGGACCAGCAAGACTGTTTTCCGCTACAGCCGAGACGCGGCCGCAGGTCCGCTGTTTGAGCTAGGCCGGATGCTGCAGTGGGTGAGGGATGGCCGCTTCCATCCCGACAACACCCGTTCGGGGAGGTTTACATCTGCAGAAGAGCTTGAGCAGGCTTGGTGGGACCAGGTGAGGGATTTGCCTCCCTCGAGTGAGGGGAGGAATCGCGATCTGGAAATCTCGCAGCCTGAAGACATGCAGCCTCAAGCAGATGGCTTACATGGTCTCGTCGAAGGATTGGACTTCGACCACGACGACCCCGAGGAGCGACTTTCTTTGTCTGGGGGCGTTGGCGACTCCTTGGCAGGATTGGACGATGAAGGGGCACGAGGTGCCGCTAATGAAGATCCTGACTCTTCGGCAGAAGGGGCCTCTAGTTCTTCAGAGAGCGATGGGAGTGGAGCGGGCCCCAGACCGCCGCGGCTGTTGCACCCTCCTTCAGCACCTGAGGGAACCAGTTTCATCAGGCATGCAAAGTCCAGGATCTGTCACTTGAAAAAGGATGGATATGTGCGGCGACTGATGTGTGGAAGGCCGCTCTCGCAAGCATATGTTGCCCCGGGCCTAATGAGGTATGATACGGGAGTGTGTAGCCAGTGTATGAGGTCGGCAGCTGCTGGCAACTGAGAAAATCGGTTCTCTGTCTAGTGAGCTGTACTGCTTCGTTTGAGCTGAGGGCGCCGAGGGGATTCACTTGGTGAGTTGTCGTGGGCGTGCTTGCGGTTCAACTTGAAGCTTTTGTGATCTCATGTTGGTAGGCACCCGCAGTCTGATTATCACATGAGGGCATTGCATTTTTTGTTTGTGGTATCTTCTCAGTTTCTCCGCGCGATGGCTTTAATTGACAGTGAGGCTTCGCTCAAACAAAGGTGCCTGCCCGTGGAGGGGGATGACTCACTTTTCGAGTCTCTAAAGGCCAATGGAGTGAAGACGCTGCGTCAGTTGGCATTTGCACTGGGGAGCCCACAAACTCCACCGTCCGATGATTCTCTGAAGGACCTTGCGGCTAAGGTTTACAAGTGTGCCGAGGGTACTCAGCCTACGATCGGACAAATTGCAAATGTTCGCATGCTTATCTTCGAGGCCTCTACACTTGTAGTGGCACAGTTGCGAGCACAGGCGACGGCGGATGATTCCGATCTTGCAGGTCGCAAGCTGCCGCATGTTGAAAAGCAAGCGCGTTTGACTTCGCAGAAAGCCCGACTTCCCGGGCTGCTGATAGAGGGAGAGCTGCAGCCCAGCTACGCGCTGGTAGATGCTTGTGCCCTGATGTCAGAGTCGAACAGCATTACTTGGATCAGCCCCTCGCGTTGCACTAAGCGTGATGCTGAGGTGCAACAGCTAGGGAAAGAGAAAACCTCGTTGGTACAAATTGAGGCAGGCACCTTGAAGGTCAGTTCGAGCAGCAAGTTGCCTGATGCTGATACAACCACTGCCTTGCAGCTTCTGTATTGCTTCCAGAGGCGAGGGTTGGCATTGGATCAGTGCAGCCTCATCGGCTGGTCGGACCATGAGTGGTACGTACAGAGCCTTATGTCCTATCTTCATGGAGAGCCAGTGTCAGGAGCCAGGCCCGCGATTGCCCAGGTCATTCGGGCAGACCGGGAGGCTTGGACATTGATGAGCCGTGAGATCGAGGGACCCATTGGGGTGAAGGATGCGGCTGGCGAGCTGGTGATGGCGGCTGCTTTGAGGCGGTTGGCCAAAGACCCTCGCGTAGTCGTTCATCTTGTTACGGCACCGCAGCCGCAGAAAGTCGCCCCACCGCCTTCCATCCCTACCGACTCGGCTGCTGCCGCAGCTTTGGCTGAGAAGGCTACCAAGAAGAAGAAGCGCAAGCGTCTTACCGGCCTTGTACCGGAGTCTTTGAAGGGATGTGTCACCAAGATCAAGGCCGGGCCCATTTGTTGGGCTTTCAACCTTGCCGAGGGGTGTTCGCTTGAAACCAAGAAGGATGCCCATGGAACAAAGTGTGCAAAGGGATATCGGATATCATGTTTGTGCCGGATGCCACAAGCCTGGCCACAGCTTTCCAAACTGCCGGAAAGGAGGCTCGTGACGGGTTGAGGCGACTCCCGCTGCCTCGAGTGAAGCTTCGCGAGCCTCGAGTGATGTGGAGTCTCTTGCCGCGTCAATTTTGCAAACGCCTGCTCCTTTCGAGAAATCTTCGCTGTCGCAGCTGATTGAGCTGCTGCCGATGCAAAGCCCTCCACGGGGGAGTGTTGGACGCTCCTTCGCTGCCGGGGCGTATGCAAAAGGGGGTCTGTATGGCCTTCACTCAAATACCAAGCTTTTTCCAAATGTGTGCGCTGTCTTTGCGGCGCAAATCCGGAGTTTGGCTCCGGGCGAGTGCTTTACAAGCTTTATTGTTCTAGATGACTGTTCCGCCGAGGTACATCGCGATTCCAACAACGACGACTCCCACTGCAACATCCTGCTGAAGTTGTCCGAGTTTCAGGGCGGGGCCGTTTGGGTAGAAGGTGATGGTGACATTGAGGTGACTGATCCAAAGGGACACGTCTTGAAGGGTCATGAGTTGTCTTGGGAAAACAACAAAATCACTTTGGATGCGAGGAACTTGTATCATGCTACACTCCCCTGTAGTGCTGGTAGGATACAACGTCAGGGACTTCCAAAGACTGCCGTGTGACGATCGCCAGAGGCTGATTGACCTCGGCTTTCAGTGCCCATCGCAACCCGTGCCTTCCCCCCATAGGACCCTTGGGTTTAGTTCCCCCTTTTCGGGTGTTGCTAGTGCTGCCACTTCAAGTGCTGAGACCAGCTCTACCCCCGAGCAGCCCGCCAAGCTGCCTGGAATAGGGTGTGGTTCTAGCCCAAATAGGCCCGTCGCTCCGCACGTGCGGACGCCGATCAAGCGTGATCTTCAGGAGAGGTCCAGAAGCCCGGTGAATGCCGATTCTCAGGCGAATGTAGGCCATGTCGGGGAATACATTTTCCTTGAAGTGAATGGTCGCACTGCCGATCTGCAGCAGGCATGCGACATATACTGTGCAGTGCGCCCCCAGCTTTCGTGCATGGGGTCAGGTGTCTACCACTTGACTTGGGCAACGACTTGGAGAGCTTCCAAAAACTTGTCGAGGCCGAGAAAAAGCGACTCGCTCTTGTCTGGTGCGAGCTGCCGTCTCAACCGTGCTCCTCTTGGGCTGCAAATCTTTGCACCTTGGGTGAGCTTGCCGCCAGTCTTGAAATTCCCTTTGTCATAGCGGGTTCTCCAAAATCGCAATTTTGGGATGATCCATTCGTCCTTCAGCTGATTCAAAGTTTCCCTTTGCAGTTGCACCGATGTGACCTGTGTTGTCATGGTGACGGCCGCCCTCGGCCTTACCAAATGGCCACGGCACAAGGGGATTGGTCAGCCTTGGCACTCAAGTGCTCGGGCTTGCATTCACACGCACCGTGGGTGCCGCGAAAGACTGGCGATCCGCCTCCAGGTTTGCCCAGTCTTTTCTGTCAACGTGTCATCGCCAAAGCCAAAGCTGCCCTTCTCCAGTCAGGAGTTCGTGAGTTTGGCACGGTTTCTCAAACCCGAGAGTCCGATTCCACCTTCGATGGCAGGTTGGCGTTGAACGCCTTGCCGCGCGGCCGACGCAACCCTGCTTTAGTGCAAGAGTTTGTATCCTTCAAGTTCGTGGCTGTGCCTGCTGACCCGCCGTCGACCGATGAATCTTTACTTGCTGGACTGCCTAAAGGAGCTCGGGTCTTGTCTCGCCTGACCTTTGATGGGGGTTACGAAGAGGCTTGTAAGACCTTGAGCATATCCTCCGGTGAAGTTTCCATTGCAGATGGCAAATCAGAACTGCTTGAAGGTGAGTTGATTAGAATTGGCCTGCCTTCCGAACCCGAAGCCTTCGTGCAAAGAGCAGTGCAAGCCGGCCACCCTAGGGGAAGTGCACATGTCTCGAAGCTTGTCGTAAATGCAATCAAAGCAAACTTCAGCGACCCACCGGCGCAAACTGTCACCTCTCGTGCTGCTGCTCTTAAACATTGGACTGCACGAGCCAAGCAGTTAGAGCAGAAAGAGGAGGAGTTACACCGGAGTTTGCCGGAGCACCTTCGTTCTCTGCTGGAGGGCAAACGGTTGCTCTTGTGGCAGGAAATGCACGAAGCAGCTGGATCTCCAGATGACCAGTTAATCACCCACATGTGTGATGGATTTAAGTTGTCTGGTTGGTTATCGCAGGGAGGGCTTTTCCCTCCGAAGGTTAGGCCACCCTCCTTTTCGGTTTCCACCCTTAGTTGCTTAGCAAAAGGTCTGAATCAGTCGACGATTGCGAAAATGCGTGTCCGGCAGGATGAAGACTTGGAAAAGGCAACTTGGCAGGAAACTGAGAAGGAACTGCAAAAGGGTTGGATTTTTGCTGACACAAAAAGTTGCATAGAGCTTTGCGCTCTGGCCCGCAGATTTGGAATCAGACAGCTTGACAAAGTGCGTGTCATAGACGATGCCAGCATTTGTGGCATCAACGCTACCGTTGGCTTGAAGTATGGTTTCCAAATGCATTCCATTGATAGATATGCTGCGTGGATCTCCAAGGCGCTACGCATCAATGAGGGCAGACTGCCTGCCTGCAAAGGTCGTGTATACGACCTTAAGAGTGCGTACAAACAGTTTGGAATCCATCCTACAGACAGGGAGCTTTTCAGATTTGCAGTTAACAAACCAGGAGAGGCGGAGCCCATGATTATGGGAGCAAACTCCTTACCGTTCGGTGCGGTGGGAAGTGTTGCTGCTTTCCTCCGTATCTCGTTGAGCATCTGGCTGATAGGAGTGAGGCTGTTCAGTATCTTCTGGACCGCATTTTTCGATGACTACGGAGTCACGACTCGCGATGAGCTTGTTGCCAACACAGACTCTTGCATATGTGCCATGTTAACCACTGCCCTCCTAGGTTGACTCTGCAGGCACACTTTTGCCTTCGCACCGCCTGTAAGTAGCTGTTCAGCGGCAGAGCCAGCATAAGCTGGGCGAGCCCCGGAGACTGCAGAAGGGCAGCAACTCTTACGGCCGCCACCAAAGTCTCCACTCGCTTTCGCCGTATAGCGTGGCATCCACGGGTGGGAGGGTAGGGCCCGAAAAACTAAGGTCGTTCGTGGTGAACATGCTGGTCATGTTAACCACTGCCCTCCTAGGTTGACTCTGCAGGCACACTTTTGCCTTCGCACCGCCTGTAAGTAGCTGTTCAGCGGCAGAGCCAGCATAAGCTGGGCGAGCCCCGGAGACTGCAGAAGGGCAGCAACTCTTACGGCCGCCACCAAAGTCTCCACTCGCTTTCGCCGTATAGCGTGGCATCCACCAAGCTCAGGGGCCAGCCGAAGAATTCGGCGAGCGCAGGGCTCGCGGAGGTGCAGCGAAAGCTGCATCGCTGGCGAGTGCGGCAGAGAGAGAAGAAGAAGGTCACAGAAACTCGTAGAAGGTGCCAGCGGTGCGAACCTTAGCGGCACAGGCCTGACTGAGCGCCGCGAGCGCCAAGGCAGCACCAACCTCCTGCAAGTAAAACTCCAGAGTATGAATATGGCGCAGCCGCATCCTCCATTGGATCTCGGTGATGGCCACACCACTCCTGTAACTCTGGACCGCGCCTCCACCACGAAGGCCACCTGGCGTCAGGCGGGCTTCCGCCGGGACGCTCAGCGTTTCAAGCAGTTTGTTCCACCTGTACCGGTAAGCTGAAGGAGACTGCGGAAAGAGGCGGTATCCTCCCGGCCGGTTCCCATAAAGCTTTTCCAGCAAGGCAACCGCTTTGGCATCGGTGATCTTCATATGTTGTATCCTCCCGCGTTTTCTGTTCATAGTCTTTGAGGATCGCAAAGTCAGGTACGCAGCTCGGCTTTGGTTCCACCAGTCGTCGCTAGGCAGAAGGAGGTCCGATCGAAGGACCGGCAAGACCTCTCCGATCCGCCCCAGCCCGTAGTAGCTCAACAGAGTGACCGCTGCAAAAGCAACAAATCCAGAGAGCCACGCCAGGGCCACCAATGCTTTCAAAACAGGCTCCGGAACCGGTGTCCTATGCTGGACCGGCTCGGCATGCTCCCAACGGCTCACCAGTTCCCAAACGTGCGAGGCCCAAGGCTTCAAGTTCAGAAAACGGCGCTGAGCTCCCAGGATAGTGTGCCGAAAATCGTGTATTGACCCGCTGTTCTTGAAGAGCCAGTTCCCATAGGCGCGCAAAGCCATGGCGAGGAGCGCAGGAGACTTAGCGAAGACAGACAGACAAGGATCCGACAGAGAAGGCTGAACCCAGGAGAGAAAAGCATCCCAACCCTTCTGGCCCAACAGCAAGGCGGCTTGGCTTTGCAACGGCCGGTCCTCAAGTCCAACCGCGGAGTCCCGGAAGAGCCGCCGTCCGCGAGGGCCCGGGTGTGAGGCTTCACCAAGACGGGCGGTAGGGGCGCCGGCCACACAAGCAGACAAAGGAATCTGCAAAAGTCGATGGCCACCAGAAGTCCACCCTGCTTTTATCGCGGCTGCAGCAGCGACCAGCTCGGCGAGCGGTCTGGGGTAGGCCTGTGCAATCGAAGTCCACGAACGGTGGTCGGGAGCAGCTCGGCCTCGCAGCACCAAGTGGGGCCGAGAACAGTTGCAGAAAAGCCTCTCGCCAGCCAAAGCGGAGCTGTCGCACACCGCGAAACGAGTCCGCTTCCGCCACCGGGTCCCGAACCGGCATTGATCCACACGAAGAGTGGAAGGGGAGACGGCTGGAGCAAACTCTGCGAAGCCTGCCAGGAGCCACATGAACGAACCGTCGGGGCCCTCAATCCAGAAGTGCCCGTCGGAGTTAGCACGAAAAGCGCGGAGGATATGTGCCACCCAATCGGCCTGCCGGTTTCCCTTGGTCACCTTTACAAAAGCAACACGGCCAAGTCCAGGGAGGCCTCTCGGATGAGCACGCGATCGCCACGGCGGGTGCACGGCACGGGAAAAAGAGGAGCAAGGCGGGGAAGCTCCAAAGGAAAGGAAAACCTGTGCTCGGAGGAGCAACTCAATCATCTTCTGAACGGTGTCGTTGTCAAGGTCCTGATCGGGGCCATGCTCAATGTCAAAAGTCAGGACCCAGGGAGCACCGCGGCGAGCCAAACCGCGAGCGACACCCGAACTCCCACTGAACAGCTCCAGCGCACCTTTCTTCGAAAAGTCAAGAGCGCCGCCCTCAGGGAAGAACTGGCCACGAGGCAGGCCGGCCAGAACGGCCAAAGCCGAGCAAGAATCGCCAAGGGTGAGCGAGCCACGCAAGGGACATTCAGACCGGCGGGTGCCGCAGGCTCTCAACGCTCTGTTCCTCCTAGCTCGCCGAGCTCTGCCCGAACTCCAACCAAGAGCCCCGGGAGGTGGGCGTGAAGGCAGCTCTGGCGCCGAAGACCAAGCGCTCTCAGACGCGACCCGAGGCAGCCGATCAACCATCTCAGGCAGGAAAGTCTCCTTGGCACGCTGTGCAACAACCTCAGGCTGGGCTGCAAGCCAGGTCTCGAAGGGAGCGGTGTCTCCCCGGGCAAGCGGCAGGAACCACGACGGCAGAGCTTTGCTTGGGGCTCGTATGTCCCGCGACCTTGTGCCATCATCCGAGGGGTTGTCAGCAGAAGCCAGAAAGGCCAGGCCGAGGTAGAGGTCGCTCCCAAACATGGTGGCAAGAGACCTTTTCAGCAAAGTGTTCAGGCCTCCAGACGCCGACCTGCCTTTGAGAGCAGCCCCAAGGGTCACCTGCGAGTCTATGCCAACTAGCAGCCGCAAGCTGCTTGAAGTGCGAGCGACTCGCCGCTCTAATTCCAATAGCCCACGCAGCTCTTTGATGTTGATGTGCTGCCCAGCGGCGGCAGGCAACACCCAAGCAGTGCGGAACCGAAGTGCTTGTGCAAGCTCTCGCCACAAAGGGAAAGGCGTGTAAGAGTCCTCCCCGGGAAGCTCTGCGCTCTCAGGCAAAAGGCCCCTAGACCGCAGCCAAGCTTGAGAAGGAGGGAGCAGTCTGTTCCAAGCCCCTTTCACCAAGGTGTGCCGGTAGCACTCATCGGCGACCTGAGGTGGCAAATCAGCCACAGCACAAGCGATCTTATCGTCGGAGGCGTCCGTGGTGAAGAAGCAATCGCACACCTGAGCCCGCAAGTTGGCAACACACAGGGGCGCAATTATCACCCAAGACCAAAGCTCATCAGATAGAGCAGCGCTGAGCCTTATCACATCCCCGGGCACTGTGGCACGCAGGGCCTGGAAGGCGACGTCAATCAAGCAAAGAGCGCGACGGCGCACCAAGAAGATCGAAGTCCATGACCCGACCAGGCTCTCGAGGAGCGACCGAGACACAAGCCCCAAAGCGGCAACCCGAGCGGTCACGAAGGCAACTGGCCAGACACGAGAAGGGCTTGGCCGAAGCAGGCCATCGTCACCGGAGAGCTTGGCACCCCAGAAGGTGGCAACGGCAGCGTCACGCACCCCCTTTTTAGGATTGGCTTCCAGACGGGCTTCAACGTAGGCTGCGTGCACTGAGTCCAAGCGGCGAACCCCGGGAGCATCCGGCCTGCCCTCCCCGCAGCCACGAAGACAACGCTCCAAAATGACGAGGTCGTCAATGACGATGCCCACAGACAGCAAGGAGCGCGGAAAGGGGTGCGTGGGAAGGAGCAGCTCACTGCTGGAGAGCAGACCGAAGTGCCGAAGGACTCCCACATGAGCCGCTTGGGCGTACTCGCAGGCACAGCAGTCCCCCATACCCAGCGTAGAAATCGCAACTCGAACCCGGCGACGAGAGTCGGCGAAGGGGGAGCAATCACGGTCGAAGACCCACTGCGCCTCAGCCAGTGTGAGGGAGCCGCGCACGAGGTTCCTCTGTAGCCGGTCGGGCGTGACAGCAAACAGGTAGAAGTAGTCCCGAAGGTCGGCCGAGGACACCCGAAGACACTCAGAGGGGCGCAGAACCAGTTGCAACAAACACTGGGGCCCAGCCAAAGTGTCCGTCCACTTGGAAGGCGCAACCTCAAGGGTATTCGGCCGGCCTGCAGTCCAAAATCAACCTGTCTCTGTTCAGATCCTTGATCACACTGAACAGCCCAGCCGCGAAAGGAAGCCGGCGAGCCTCAGCACACAAAGGGGAGAGGCGACCAGACAAAGCCAGCTTGCGGAAGAGTGCCAATTTCTCACGACGCGAAGCGAGCAGCCGAACGGAAGGAGGACCAGAGTCACAGGGCCCGGGAAAGCGAGCGAAAAGAGAAGGGCTCTCGAACCGCCGCAAAGTGTCCTCGTCAAGAAAGGGACCCGGGTCGAAGACCGGCGGATCGGGAAAAGTCAGGCGGTCAGCCTCGATGGCTTTGGCAGCTATCACGTCGGCACGCCTGAGCGAGCCCACAACAGTCCCAAAGGAAGCGGCTCGGCCAGAAGAAGAAAGGTTTGCTCCTGCAGCCCGTGGTGCCTTAAAGGTGGCGCTGGAGACTTGCGTGTAACCTGAAGAAGAAAAGGAGCCCGCGGCACGGGCGAGGGCAGCGAGGATCCTGTCCTGATCCTCCACTTTGGAAGCAGCCCGGCCCATTTCCGCAGGATCGATGGCACAAGAAAAATCACTATCCAAGGCGAGGCCCTCTATAGTACGAACCGCCCGCCATTGTTGGGCAGACAGCTTGGTCCCGAGCACACAGGAGGCAGGACACTGAGAAGGGCACCCGAGGTGCAGCCAAGAAAGCAACAGGACGATCAGGCAAACCTGAACCTTCCTCCAACCTTTGGCGCCGCGGGCTCCTCGCACAAAAACCTCAGGGTAAGGGACCGGGCAAGGCCAAGCCGAGGATGCACGGGCCGGGGCGGTTCCCTCGGCCGAAAGCGTGGCGCAAAGATATGCAGCAAAAGGGGCGCGTCCTTTCAAAATCCAAGACGGCAATGAATTCCAAAAGCCGGGCACATTGACACTGGGAGCAGAAGCTCCAGGAACGCGACGCTCCGAACACGACCCCGTCACTTCTCCTCGTGCTTGCGGGCTCCGCCTTTGGCCTTTGCTTTGGCCTCGGCTCGCCCTTGGTCTTTCTCGTCGTCGTCCGGCTGCTGCTGCTGGCGGCGGCCCAGCCGGGCTCGTTTTTCCAGGAAGTCCGACTGGTCGCGCAAGTGGTGGAGCGCAACTTCGGCCCAACGGCCGTCCAAGATCCTCGACCACACCTGCTCGCCGTCCCTCTCTCGGGATTCGTGCGCCTTGAAGGCGTGAAGCGGGCAGGGGCTCTCGAGAGTCAGCTCGCTCGCCAAAGTCCAGTTGCCGCGGTCGGTCGCGACCTGATCCATGCAAACCATCAGCACGTTCAAGCGAGCTTCGCACTCCTCGTAGGACTTCCTTCGCGCCGCGTCCAGCGCGCCAGCTACGCACCAGGCGGTGCGAGCGAGCGTCTGGTGCGGGCCGATCCGGCTGCGATGTTCCAGCCAGGCTCTGGCGCTCGGAGCGGCCTCGTACCCAGGAGTCGACAGGCTGTGCAGATCCTCCTTCATAAGGGCCTCCACCGTGCCAGAGAGAACGGCAGGATTTTCCGTCAAGGCGGACCGGAGGGCCCTCCGAGCAGCCGCGTTCCTCCTGAGAGAAGGCCCGGCTTCCAGCGATCCAGTAGCGCCGCTGCTTGCGGCGTCGAGGATCCCGTCCAAGGTGGAAGGCTGCCTCTTCTTTCCCACCGCCAGGTTTTCTACCAACTGAGTCAACTTCACCAGCGCCTGGCCCACGGGGTCGGCCGGTTGCGCCACAGCAGCGCCAGGTGCTTCGACCACTTCCTCCTCGGACTCTGAAAGCGGATTCGCCTTCAGCGCGGCGGAGGTCTTCACGCGGACCCCGGGACCACCACTGCCTCCGACCAGCCTGTTCATCTCTCCAAGGGCTTGCTTCGAAACCCCGGCGTCGAGGGCAGCACGGGTGACGCCAGGATCCAGATTCCCAAAGGCGGTCGGCTCGGCACGTAAAGCAGGAGCGGGCGCTCGCTTCGATCGCTGGCTGCGTCCCACCATGTCGGTTGGAGGCTCCTCTGTAAGCCCCTGCTTGGAGAGCAACGCTTTCATGCCGGAGGCGACCTTGGACATAGCAGTCTCCAGCCGGTCGACCCGCACGTTGATACTGGCCGCCGCGGTTTCCGGAGGCCCGCCAGAGTCGGCCGAAGCGAAGTGCCCCAGCCCAGGCAGATTCTCCACAGAGGCCACCAAAGAAGCCGCGTGAGGAAGCAAACCCACGCCATGCGCATCTTGAGCGAAGGGGAGGTCTGCAGCGCCACCGCCCTCGAAGGAAAGGCTGCTCACCATCGCGGCGTCCAGCAAGCCAACCCACAGTTTGACTGTGGCACCATCCACCATCAAGTCCCTCTCCTCCGGCGAAACAGCGGCCACCTCGACCGACACCACTTTGGACAAAGCCGTTCGCGGCAACCGCCGGTCGGCCAACTTGCGGGCCCAGGCGCCGGCAGGAACGGCCACTACAAGCCTTCCATCGACCTCGGAGATCACGATCGCCTCGCATGACCCCGTGCCCTCCTCGCCACCAGGTGCCAAAGGAAGGGCCCCCACCAAATAGCTCGAGTCCGGCCCCTCCGGCTGAGCCACAGCCAAATCGCGCGGATCCAAAGGCGCGCCGTCTAGTGCCTCCTCTTCGGACATCTCACTCGTAGGTCACGTTCGGGAAACCCGCGGCTGCGCACACAGCCTCCACGTCGGCACGAGCCGGCAGCCCGATGAACACAGATTGGCCGCAGTCGGCCTGCCTTTTGCACAGAGTCTTGGCTTTCGCAAAAGCCGTGAAAGCACGAGGTGGGTCAAAGTTCTCACCCTCGAAGCCCCGAAACACAATCCAGTACTTTGAGGCCTGAGCAATGCGATCTCGGCCGCTGGCACCGCGATGGTCGCCAGCCAAAGCACGGGTGATCCACAAACCGATCTCCCTGCAAGCGTTGTCTCTCTCGGAACGAGGGAGAGCTGGAGCGGCCTGAACTGCCGCGGGCCCGGAGGCCTGCAAGGGAGCCCAAGAAGTACGAGCCGGGCGCTCGGGAGTGTACACTGAAGGGCTGGAGGGCGCCCCACCAGCACGAGACGAGGTAGCCGGATCGACCAGCTCGTAGTCTTCAGCACCCACACCGACGATGGCTCGCAGAGCCCTGATTTCACCTTGTCGACCAGCAGCTCGAGGCGCTCGACTCGCGCCTGCATGCAAAGGCGGAGGTCCCAGGCCTAAACCCAAAGGGGAAGCCTAACGGGACTAGGGTCCTAGACCAAACCCCAAGGCCTAAACCCTATCACCCGGCGCGACGGCACGCCCACAGGGCCCGCAGGCCAGCAAGGGAAATCCAAAGTCCACAGGGAGGCCTAAACCCTAGGGAGGCCGGGATCCGGGCACCTAGGGGCAGGCCTAAACCAACCCTAGGGGCTCGGGAGGAAGCGGAAGAAGCCGGGGCCCTGCAGCCGCAGAGCGAGCGCCCGAAGCAAGGCGCTCCGCACAAGCAACAGGACCTCCAAAAGCGGGAGGAGCAACACACCGCAGCCCAGGCCAAAGAAGAAGGAACCCCAATCCAAGTCAGGAAGGTCCGGACAGATAGGGCACGAGTCCAAGAGAGGAGGGGCAGACGAGGCAAGGAGATGACTCAGGACAGAGACGATCGAAGCCGAGGACAGACCCGACACGGACGACAAAGCGAAGTCTCTAGACATGCGCTTGGCCCGAAAAACTAAGGTCGTTCGTGGTGAACATGCTGGTCATTTTTGATCTTCTTGGAGTTGAATTTGCTCGGGAGGGCAAAAAGGCACCACCGTTCTCACGAGACTTTAAACTGCTTGGAGTCAGAGTCGATTTGAATGATGCACCTCGGGGGATTGTGCGAATCGGCAACACTGCCGAGCGTCGCGAAGAACTGAACGTGTTCATCGAAGACATCTTGCAAGCCAATTGTCTCGACCTTAAGACCGCTGAAAGGCTCCGAGGCAGGTTGGTGTTTTTCGAGGGGTTTGTTTTCGGGCGAATGTCGAATTCGGCCATCCGAACTGTGGATCGAGCGGCCAGGGCGGGACTCACTTCGAAGAGGCTGCCCGAGGATGTTAGAAAGAGCCTCGTTGTCATTCGCGAGAGGCTGAGGGTGGCTGAGCCTGTGACCATCGCTACCAAAAACCATCACTCTTGGCTTATCTTCACAGATGGAGCCTGCGAAGGCGAGAAGAAGCTAGGATCCATTGGAGGAGTGATCGTGGGCTTGAGTGGCCATCCGATATCCTTCTTCAGTGAGCAAGTCCCACAGGATATCATGAAGATCTTGTTGAGCAACTCGCAAAATCCCATTTTCGAACTTGAACTTCTGCCGGTCCTAGTTGCTTATAGGCTCTGGGGCCAGTGGTGCAGATTTTCTCAAGCCGTTTTTTACTTGGATAATGAAGGTGCTCGCCATTCGATAATAGCCGCGGGAGGAGGCGCCGATCTCGCTCGTGTGATTATCGATGGCATCCTCTCGAAGGAAACTTCCCTTCAAATCCACTCATGGTACGCCCGTGTACCTACGCATAGCAACATTGCAGACTCCCCGAGCAGAGGTGAGTACGAAGGTCTCTTGAACATTGGATGCTCAAGGCTTCGCGTCGACTGGGATGCGGTGGCACGGCAGTGTTTTCCATTGGGGTGACTCAGACTGCCAGCACCTTGCCCCAGCTGCGAAAAGATGAGTCCGATTGCAGAGAGTCTTCATGTTTACTTTTTATATTGGAAATAGTGGATTGTTGAATTCATACTTTTTGATATTCAACTTTCACATATTCCTTTGAAGTTTTCACGGTGCTTCGGAAATAAGGTCGCACTCCTCTAACAAGGATGAAACCTTTATTTCCAAAAGCAAATTTCGTTTGAACGAAATTAGTGAAAACTTTTACTTTTGAAATTTTTCCTGCTGTTCGGCATGACTCCTTTTTTTTTGAGTGCATGACGATCATAGCCTGAGGTGTTGTACGATGTCTTTGTTGCCGTGCATGCATCCTCAAGCTTTGCGAGCAGGAAAATTTTTGTCCCGCCCTCCCACCCTTGGGCAAGTGCCCACCAAGTGTCAGGGGAGAGTGGGCCTATCCCTGAGCCTATGACTCAGACTGCCAGCACCTTGCCCCAGCTGCGAAAAGATGAGTCCGATTGCAGAGAGTCTTCATGTTTACTTTTTATATTGGAAATAGTGGATTGTTGAATTCATACTTTTTGATATTCAACTTTCACATATTCCTTTGAAGTTTTCACGGTGCTTCGGAAATAAGGTAAAGATAAAGGTGGAAAGGGCGGAAAGCCCAATGCCGGGAAATCCAATCCTGGTGGCGGTGGCGGCAAGTCACAGCATGCAAACCAGCCGAAGGGCAAAGGAAAGGGTGGCAAAGCACAGAAGGAGACGCGAAAGTGCCATCACTGTCAGAAGGTTGGGCATCTGGCCAAGGACTGTTGGCTGCTGCATGGCAAAGGCAAAGGCAAAGGTGTGCATCAGGTTGCAGAGGTTAACCCTTCAAGTGCAGCGAGCGAGGCACCCACCGTCACGACAGCAGGTGGTTCAGCCAGCACAACCGGAGCTGTGCGGCGACTTCAGGTGTTTGACTTGAGTGCGCCCGCTGACTGGTTCATTGGGCATGTTCGCGTTGTCACGTGTGCAATGCAGTCAGCTTGGAATCCCAAGGCAGTTCAGAGCCCAGCAGGTCCCAGTGGCCAGGTCGCGACCGATCAGGCGTGCAGCACCAACATTTTGCCATCAGATTTTCTTGAGATTGTCAGATTGCTTGAGCGTTCGTGTTCGAACAGTGCACAGCCCGTTTCTTCGTTTGAGAGTTGCAATGCAGTCAGCTCGGAATCCCGAGGCAGTTCAGTCCCAGCAGGTCCATTTTATTTTGATGATCAGAGCACAGTGCCACAGGTGTCCCAGGCTGCGCCAGCGGCAGATCAGAGCACAGTGCCACAGGTGTCCCAATTTGACCTGTCCGTCGATGATGATGTTGGATCGTGGGAGCACGGAGTTTCGGTGCATGAGCTCAGCACTCTCAAGCGCTTAGAGCCCAACAAAGGTTTTGTGTATGCTGTGCAGACAATCCAGGAATTGCCTTCGGATGAAGATGCCCTCGATGTGATTTTGGACTCAGGTGCCGATATGAGTTGTTTGCCTCTTGAGTACGCGCAGCACGGTTTCGACCACGGTCCTCACAACTTGCAACTGCGCGATGCACAAGGAGAGCCATTAGCAATCAATGCCCTTCGTGAAGTTGAGTTTGTCGTTGAAAGCAGCACAGGGGAACATGTGGTGTGGCGAGAAGTTTGTGCAATCGCCCCAGTAACACAACCACTCTTGTGCAAAGGCAAGCTCATGAAGGCCGGATGGTGGCCCGTCAGACAGCCAGAGATGGCTCTTGAGCATGACAGCGGTGTGAGGGTTCCGATTGCTTTCAAAGGAAATTCCTTGTGCGTTCGGGCAAGCATTTTCAGGATTGGCCAAGAATCCTTGAGTCCAGCAGGGCATGTGATGTTTGTCCAAGCAACAGTTTGCAATGAAATGGCCGATGCGAATTTTGGCTGGCAAATGTCAGGCACGGGAAATCTGTATTTTCGTGGCAGGAGCACTCACTACATTGATCCGTCCATCATTGCACCAGTGGGATGGCCCTGCAGAACCACCTTGGTCAAGCCGTGCACACCGGACCATGATGCCTGGATTTTGCTTGAGCACTGTGTGCACTGGGGTGAGTTGCGCGAGCTTGCGGCCATTTTACCGCGCGGAGAATGTGATGTAGTTTGCATTTTGTCTTCAGCGCGCGAGGAGTTGTCCGAATTTGGAGTCGAACCCCACAGGTCAGTGCAAGGGCACGTTGATTGGTCTGGCCCGCAACCTGGAGACCCCGATGCTGATGAGCTCGCAGATTACGAGCCCTCCGAGGCCGACATGCAAGACACTTCTGCTCCACAACTTGTGGAGGCAATGCCAGGTGTTCCACAGGTTAGCAACGATGTGGAGGTGTTGCCAGATGCCGAAGGTGTCACAGGCGAGGCGCCGGTGCCGGGAAGCAGCAATGATCTTCTTGTGTTTGAGGGCGTTGAGCTCTCGCTGCAGAGCACATTGACATTGAGTGTGATTCGAACGGCATGCAAGTCGGCGGGGATTTCCGGTTCGGGGAGCAAGCAGCGTTGTCTTGATCGTCTGAGGGCATATCTTGATAAGCAGCAATTGGCCCTGAGTGCCGAAGTTGCTCAGACAGTGGGAGATGACAGCACTCGTGAGCCTAGGGGCCAGTCGGTCACCAAGGCGCCGACAGAAGCTGAGCGGCAGCTTCATGAGCTGACCCATTGGCCATACCGGCCGTGGTGTGATCACTGCATAGCCATGCGTGGCGTTGAAGACCGGCATGAGTCACTGCCGGGGAGTGCCGACACTGAGGTTCCGATCATCAGCTTCGATTATGCCTTCACGAGTGTGTCAGGTGCCGAAGGCCAGGGCAATGCAGCCAAGTTGACCATTCTGGTTGCACATGACACCAGCACTGGGAGTGTGCTAGGGCTTCCTGTTGCAAGCAAGGGGCGCGAGGATCTGAAATTCAGCGCGATCGAACTGACAAGATTTGTGCAGGGGTTAGGGCACAACAGCATTTTCCTGTGTTGTGACAATGAGCCCAGCACTCTTGCTCTCCAAAGTCTTGTGGTCAATGTTCGGACCAAGCTTGGATTCAAAACCATGATCCGTGATGCGCCGGTGCACTCGCATGCATCAAAAGGCTATGTTGAAAAGGCCATAGACTTGGTGAGAGGTCTTTCCAATGTCTTGCTTGATCAGGTGAGAGTCAGGTACAACTTGAGTGCTGAAGCCATCGGCGTGGATCACCCTTTGATGGCATGGAGTTATGTCCACGCAAGTTACATCTTGAACAGGTTCGGAGTGAAAGGTGGAGCAACTGCATTTGAACGTGCCACAGGCTATCGCTTTGCATCCAAGCTCGCCTGCTTCGGAGAACCGGTCTGGGGTTTTAGGCGTGGAAAATCTAAGGGTGACCGAAAATGGCATAGGGCAGTATTCTTGTCGAAAACTACAACAAACAATATGTATATCTTGATGAATGCCCAGGGCGTCTGGCTGACACGATCCATCAGACGCAATGCCAAACCTTGGTCGGATGAAGTGAATTTGATTTTGGAAGGAAAAGGGTTCCCTTGGAATTACCAGTTGGGGGTTCTGGGAGCTAAGGTTTTTCCACAGCCGCGTAGTCGGGTTCCAAAGCCGGCCGAGGACGCTGATGAGATGTTTGAACAGCAACAGAGTGGGCGCGATGATGCGCCAGGTGGCCCAAGTCAGGCTGCAGGTGCCAAAGGTGATGAGGCACAGGCTTTCAGCATGCCGAGTGTGGCGGGGATGGCGGGGATGCCTCCGCTTAGCAGTCAAGCACCGAACCCCGCACCGTCCTCTAGAGCCACTTTGCTTCTTGATCGCCATGACAGAGGGAACGTGAGTGTCCCAGGCAGTGTGCCAGTGAGCGTGAGACCTCCTCCTCCTGCGCATGCTGCGGTGAATGAGTCACCGATGGAAATCGCGGGGACCGATCCGCCAACGTCCTCGGAATCATCCTCCTCTTCGTCTCCGCAGGCTTTGCCCAGCCAGCCATTGTTCGATGACAGTACCATGCTTGCCGAAGTTGTGGAGACTGTTCGAGCAAGCTCCAGTGCAGGTCGCCAGGCTGAGGCAGAGCCAGATGAATCCCATGCAGCAAAGTTTCAGCGGGTTGCCCGTGTAGGACGTGAGGACTTCCCAATCAATGATGAAGTTTTGGAGTCCGCTGCAGAATGGGAGGATGCAGCACAGTACGTGCAGCTTGGCGAAGAGGCCGATGCAGAGCTTGATCCAAGCCTTACCGCTGAAGAGGCAAAGCTTCTGGAAGATGAAGATCTTCTATGGTTCGAGGAGATCCCGAGCCTCAGTGACGAAGAGTTGTCAGCCTTGGATCATGTGGCAGACAGCTTTGAAGTGAAACGGCTCCTGGGAAAGCAAGTCCTGGAGGAAGTCGGTGACAGCTTTGACCTCAGCGGTTACAAGGAGCTCTCCACGAAGTTCGTAAGGACGTGGAGACAAAAGAAGAGGCAAGGGCGCATGATGTTCTTTCGTAGATCTCGCTTGGTGGCAAGAGAATATAAGTGGATGGAGCGCGACCGGGAAGGTTTGTATGCCCCGGTGACATCGTCGCTCACCACGAAACTTCTTCCATGGCTCTTTTGCGAGATGAACAGGCGTCAGGAAGGTGCAGGCACAGACGATGATCCCATAGGCGTCGTAGCCCTAGACATAAAAGATGCCTTTCTTTGTGTCCCACAAGAGCGTCCCATGCTGGCTAAGATTCCGGGTTTCCCTAAAAGGATGCGATTCCTCAAGATGCTGCCAGGGCAGCGGGACGGAACGGCCAGGTGGCATTCGTTCATCATGGACTACATTCGTGAGCGACATCCACTGTCTGTGTGTGCGGAGTGCCCTTCCTTGTACAAGCTGAAGGATGCGAAAGATCGCTCCAATCCGGGTGTGATCCACGTTGATGACCTCTGCCTTGTTGGGTATGTGAAGTGGATCCTGCAGCAACTTGTTCCCAGTCTTGAAAGCACTTTCGAGCTATCGTATGAGGTTGCATGCAAGCCCGGGGATTCCTTTAAGTTAAGTTTCTGAAAAGGGAGCACGTTCTTCTTGAAGATGGTGTCTTGATCAAGCCATTGTCTGATCATGCAGTGAACATGTGCAATCTTCTTGAAGTGCCGTTGCACAGAAAGGTGCCGACGCAAAGGACATTTTGGTGCCCGACACCAGCAAACTGCTGGACAGTGCGAAGGCTGCGCGCTTCCGCAGCGCAATCGGGATTGCAATGTATGTGTCACAGGATCGACCCGACATCGCCTTCACGGTGAGGGTCCTGTCTCAGAAGCTCCGAGAGCCGACAGTGCAAATTTGGAGTTCGGGTCAAAGGTTGGCATCGTACCTAGCGTGCACCACAGGTTACGCGAGCAAGGTGCATGCCCGAGGTGACAAGCTTAGCATTCTTGAGCCTTCCGATCCTGAGGGATTGCGGCATGAAGTGATGTTGGAAGTTGTCTGTGATGCCGACTGGAGCGGCAACAAGCAGAATCGACGTTCAATGAGCAGCAGCTCATTCTTCCTGAACAGTTGCTGCATTTACACTTCTTGCAAAAGCCAGCGTTGCGTGAGCCTCAGCAGCACCGAGAGTGAGTTCTATGCCTTGGTTTCAGCGTCGTGCGATGGGATCTACTTGAAAAGAGTTCTTGAATATCTGCTTGAACAACCTATAGACCTTTGGATGCGCACCGACAACCAGAGCTGTCGTCAGATCTCCTTGAAACAGGGTGTATCGAAGATCAGGCATCTTGATGGAAGATTCCTCTGGGTGCAGGAAAAGACGGCGGATGGAACACTGAAAGTTGGCTCAGTCGACGGGCGGCGGAATCCTTCGGACCTGGGGACCAAGGTCCCGGCAACTGGGAGTCGCTTGAGAGCACTGCTTTGCATGCACGACTTTGTCGACTGCGCCGGTGACTGCATCCAGGAAGTAGGGCGTGCCGATCATGATCAACTGATCGAGTCACTGCAGCACGACAAGGACACAGCCCGTGTCCGGCGACTGATCAACAAGTCGCTGAAAACCAATGGTTTGAGCAACAGCAATCTTGTCCTGATAATGGTGAGCTTGATTGCAGGTGCAGATGCAAGTGGCACAAGGCGTGATGTGAGTGTTCAGACAGAACCAGAGGCAAGGTGGATCAGCGTTTGGTTGACCGGTTTGGTCATCCTCGTGTCACTGCTGGGTGTCATGCTGAGCCTTGAGCGGCTGCGGGCCGATCGCAGCAGAGACGATGCAAGCGCGTCTAGGACCACCAGTGCCGAGCCCGACATGCCTGTGCCGATGCATGGGCGTTGGAGTGTCATCGCCGCAACCCTGTGCGGTGTGCCTTCGCTTGTATGCATGATGCTTCTGATGCAGCTACGCAAGGTAAGATTCTTGCTGGTGGCAGAGAGGCATGAGACAGATCGCTTGCAAGGCGTCATCAATGAAATGGACTATGATCGCATGATGTGGTCAGAGTATCATGGAAGAGAGAGTGCATCGTCGTCATCGTCCAGGCCCAAGCCAACAGTGACCAGATCCGCAGCAGCTGAGTCCGTGCCAGCAACGCCAGCAGTCGTGACGAGGCCGGAGTTGCATGTCTATTGCACTGCAAGGCGTGGGAAAGCGTACCACGCAAAGCGAGCATGCACTTGCTTGAACAATGCTGATGAGATCCTGCGACTAGGCTTGGCAGAGAAGCTCACGAGCGGTTCAAGCTTCACAGGTCCCTCCCTCTACTTTCTTAGAAGCCATGTCGGGTCAGGGAGACCAGCTGGACAAAATGTCTGCTTTGCTGGCGGAAGTGGCCGCTCAGCTAGAACAAGTGAAGCTGCAGGGTGCACGTCGCGAAGAGCAGCACCAAGACCTCACAGAGCGCATGGCACAGTTGGAAGCACGCATGGATGCTCCAGAGTCTTCGGCTGCTGTGCTCATTCCGACTCAGCTGCAGCCACAGTCCTTCACAGTTCCGGTAGCACAGGGGTTAGACCTCAACGCCCCGGCCACGATCGGACAGTGCATGGAACTGGTGCAAATGGCGATGCAGCAGAAAGTCGCTCCAGCCCTCGGCGCCGTCTACTCCTCTCTGTCCACCTCACAGGTTCGGACAAACGAGAGGGTTGGAAACCTGGAACAGCAGGTGAGGGCCCTCCGTATCCGAACGGCATGGGCAGAGAAGGACATGCTCTTCGCCCAGATAGAGCAGGCGAAGCGTACCATCGTATGCCGCAATTTTCCCACATGGCAGACGGAGGCGGACCGTCGCCTCACAGTCGAAAAGGCCCTTGCGAAAGCTGGGCTGTGGAATATTGACGGCATGTGGGATCTCACTACCACTCGCCTGGACACTGGCAAGCCGGGTCAGCCGGAGCTTTCGGCCATTTCCATCCTCACAGTCCCTTCCCTCACCATTCGAAAGAGGATTCTGGAGGTTGCGGACCAGGGTGTATCCCTGGTACTTTCACCAGGAGAAGAAAGCCACCGCCGATGAGCCCAAGGATTCCGATGAGGCCAAGGCCAGCACAGAAGGGACGGCGGAGCCGGACACGGCGGACCCCTCAGAGGCAGCCGAGCCGAAAGAGCCGGCTAAGTCCTACGAGTACAAGGGAGGCGGTCCCGTGAAGCTTTCTCCTGGAGTCACACAGTTTGAACGCCGGCTTGCTTCGCCGCTCCAGGGACTCATGAACGCTTACAGGTCCGCCTTCAGCAAGTTCACCAAGGAGCCATTGGTGCCGAGGTGGAAGACCCTGGCACTGGTCGACTCCAAAGAAGCTTGGCTGGGCCGCATCGTGTACCGCCGCGGGGTTCCCTCACAGACCACCTCCACAGGGACCCTCACAGACTGGGAGTGTGAAATTCACATCCCGGAAGAGCACTCCGCGAGGCTTTTGGAGTCGTGGCGTAGCATCTGGTACGACCAGTTGCGACAGCAGGTCAACCAGACCACGGTCGAACAGGAAGCCTTCGACAGCGCCGCTCGCCTCACAGCCGCCGAGGCGAAGCGACTCAGCCGGTTCCTGACCAAGGCCATTCCGGAGTACAACGAGGGCGAAGATGAAGGGCTGGATCACTGGATCGCCCGGTTCCGGTATGAGTTCCCTTGGCCGGTGAAGTTTGTCTACATCCCCAAGGACTCTGAGGAGAGGACCCACTTCACAGGACTTAGGTCCACAGAGGAGCTCATCGAGGCGATGGCGGCCGACGAGAAGGAGGCATCCTTCACAGTCGGGACGGAGAGCGGCGGAGTGGGGGACATGATCGATTCGGTCACCCACGTGAAGAGAACTCACAGCGATGCCGCCTCCGCCATCAGTGGCATCAGCTCGGCGAGCATCCCCAGCTCTGGTCTTGCACCGCCGGTGGCCTCCAAGGCAAGGGCGAGCTTCCACCCCTTTGCCTCACAGGCCGAGCTCGAGAAAGCGGTCGAAGAAGCAAAGATCGCTCACATCAACTGCGGCGGGGTCCCCACGGACTATCCACAGGAGGCCTGGGAGGCTTGGTGCATCAAGCGCCGTGCTTCCAGCTCGCAGTGATGGTTCGGCAAGCGCACCAGCTCTTCCTTGAAATCTTCCGCAGCGGCTGTGCGACCGCATTTTTCACAGGCTGCTGCTTCTTGTACCATAGCAGACCCAGACCGTACCACACAGCTGGGCAGAAAAGAGTTGAACCGTTCTGGCACGCCACCTAAAGGCGAGCTGGGTGCGCCGAGCCACTATTATAACTCTAGTTCTTCTTCACTTCACAGTTTCGCTTTCCCAGGTTGCTCTGAGAGTTGTTCTAGTGTGCCTTTCGGCGACGAAGTGCCCCACATTCCCCACTCCACCACCACTGCACCTTCCCCCTCACAGACCCGAGCACAACACCAACGCCACCTCAGGTCACGAACTGCACGGCAACGGCGAGCACGCAGACGCATCACCACCAGATCCCGCAGCAGGCGGGACTACCGAGCCTGGAGACGTGCTCTCTCCACCTTTCCAACCCCTAGTTGTGGTTTGGGCTCCAGAACTAGGACCAACAACCCAAAGCCTTTATACGGCCCCACGCCGACTGCCCAAACCTCGGGCGGCTTACAGCCTGTTTCCGCTAAGGCCCCCCCAAAGGGTCGGGGCCCGCAGTTTCGTTCTTGCAGACGTTTCCACCGCCTTTTGGCCAAAGCACCTGAGATGCGAGTGAAGAGACACCCGCCTCAGAACCGTTCCACCCCCAACCACTTGAGGCTTCGAACACCGGAGCCCCCACACTCACACAGTGGCCATTTTGGCTCGCCTGCCTCCCCCACCGCAGGCACTTCCACCACCGCCCCCCTCACGGCTGACACCCTTCCCTCCACCTTCCCTTCCCCATTCAACCCTACCCCCCCTTCACAGACACAGGAGCAAAGTGGCCGTGCCCAATGGTCAGAGGCACACGATGCCCGTGACAGGCAGCACACAAGAGCTCACTGGTTCAAGACCCACTGCCAAAGACCGCAGGAGCACGGCAGACAGAGGCACTCCACACAGATGCGCCCCAAAGTCCGACTGAAGGGCGGATTCTGGAACACCACGGGCCTCCTCGAAGCCGGCAAGTTGCACACGCTGGTGAAGATCATGCAGACACACGGTCTCGACTGGCTAGCCCTCACAGAGACACACGTGAAGCAGCAAGACCGATTCATGATTGACGGGTACACTGTCACCCACAGTGCCGATGACAAGCTGGATGCCCACGGCAACTTGGTCCAAACCTTCACGGGAGTTTCTTTGATCACCTCCCCAAGGCTCACACCCTGCATTTTGGACATAGTTGCCACCGACGGCCGCTTCCTTTCTTTCAAGATTGACACGGCAGAGGCACCCCTCACAGTTCAGGTGGTGTACGCGCCCCACAATCAGCGCGAGCAGTCGGTTCGCGACGAATTCTGGCAGTCGTTGGGAGACATATTGCAGGGGCATCCCGCCAGCGAGCCGCTTTTAGTGGTAGGCGACTTTAATGCACAGTTGCTTGACGAGCTTTCCTCCAACCGTGGCAGTGTCGGGCCTCACGCCCATTTTGGAGCGAATGTTGCCGACGAGACCCTTGCTTCACAGGCTGGGGAGGAAGACACATTGTCTAACCACGCGCAGCTTTTCGAGTTGTCGGTTAGCCACGACCTCTGCTTCCCACAGACGTGGATGGAAAAGGACGAGAGGAACAGAGTCACACACCAACGCCCGGGGACTTTGTCCAGCTCGACCACGCCATCACCACGTTCGCCTGGAAGAACATGGTCACAGACGTGCACACGCTCCCGAACGCCGCACTCAACAGCAACCACTTTCTCACCAGAGTCACCCTCTCCCTTCACACAGCCCGCCACAAGCGCGCTGCCCCCATTCCCAAGCCCACCAGGCGCCCTGACGCTCAAGCCATTCTTTCTTACAACACACATTTCACGGAAGCCCTTCAGCATCAGCCAGCCTTCGAGGAGCTTGCCCAGCCAGAGCCCACACAGGCAGGCGACGCCTCTCCAACCTCACAGCCGTGCACCAATCAGCAGAGGCTTGACCGACAATGGACGTCGATAAAGCAATCTATCTTGGCGTCAATGGAGGGTCACATCCCCACACAGGACAACAAGCCCAAGCATCCTTGGATCAGCCAGCAGACGTGGGAGCTCATTGAGCAGCGCACGGCAGCGCGACAAAGCCAAGACCACGAGACAGAGCGAAGTCTTCACAAGACCATCCGCTCACAGGCCCGACAGGACAAGCAACAATGGCTCAAAGACCGTCTTCAGGAGAGTGAGGACACTGTCGACGCCAGGGACAAGTGGCGCTGGATCAAACGCATTCGCTCTGATTACAAGCCACGCACAGTCACCTTGCAGGACGTCCACGGCAAGCCCACTAGCTACAGCAAGCAGGCCGACACCTTTGCCACACACCTGTCTACTGTACAGTGGGCCCCCCCTCAGCAGGACTACACAGGCCCCACTCACAGGTTGACTGACGACAGCCCGGTCAACATGGAGCCTTTCACCATGGAAGAGCTTAGCAAGACTCTCAAGGGCATGGCTTCTCACAAGGCTCCAGGCCCGGATCAAATCCCGGCCGAGGCTTTGCAATGGCTTACGCCAGCCAACCGTCAACCTCTGCTGGATTTGTATAACGAAGCCTTGCGCACAGGATTGGTGCCGGAGGAGTGGTCAACGGCAATAGTTGCCGAGATCCACAAGCGCGGCTCGATGGCGGACCCTAACAACTACCGCCCCATAGCGCTCCTCAGCACCTCTTACAAGCTCTTCGCTAGGCTCCTTCAGAAGCGCCTGGAGCAGGCGATAGACTCCAAGCTCCGGCCTACACAGTACGGCTTCAGAGCCACCAGATCGACCTCACAGGCGATACATGTCGCAAGGAGACTGCTAGAGCGCGCTGAACGTTGTGGTACAACCCTCTACGTGCAGCTCCTCGACTGGAGCCAGGCCTTTGACAAGGTCCACCCACAGGCCGTCACGGTGGCCCTGGAACGCCACGGGGTCACACCAGCTTTTATCGACCTGATCGGGTCAATTTACAGCAGCCCCACCTTCACAGTCAAGGCGGCGGGGCAAGTGAGCCAGACCTCACAGGCCAACTCCGGCATCCGCCAGGGCTGTCCACTTTCCCCTTACCTCTTCTTGGTGGTTCACAGCATGATCATGGCGGACGTCGATGAGGCTCTCCAGCAGAATGGTCAGATGCTCCCGTGGCTTTTTAGCCAGAATCAGCCATTCTACGATTTAGCCTACGCTGACGACACTGCCATTTTCACAGGAACGGCGGAACGCGGCCAGCAAATTCTGCACAAGATTCAGGAAGTTGCTGCTCACAGTAACCTCTCCCTGAATTTCAAGAAGTGCGAGCTGCTTCGCTCACAGCTGGCTGTCAACCACATCTGCTTCCTCACAGGCGAGGCCATGAAAGAGGTCACACAGGCCAAGTATCTGGGAGTTATCCTCAGCCAGGACTCCTCCAGCAGGGCCGATATCACCGCGAGACTGGGAAAAGCGCGAAAGCATTTCAAGACCCTGCACGCCTTCTGGCGACACACAGGCTTGAGTGTAGCCTGGAAGCTGCGTATCTACAACGCGGTCTTCATCCCCATGATCGCCTACGGCATGGAATCTGCGGCGCTCACCACAGCTGACCTCCACAGGCTTGAGGCCTTCCACTCACAGTCACTCCGCAAGATCCAACGGATCAAAGCCACCTACTACACCAAAGTCCTCACAGACAATCCACATGCCCAGACCATTCGCAACGAAGGCATTCGAGCATTGGCCGACCAACCCCCCCTCACACACCACATCCACAGGACACAGCTTAAGTTGTTTGGTCACGTTTTGAGAGCAACTCCGAGCAACCTGGAGCGAAACTGTGTTTTTACGAAGGCGTTTGTATATAGAGGGGGTACAGTACAGGCAGGCATACGCCCGGGACGTCGTAGACTTCACTGGGCAGAGCAGTGCTCAGAGCTAGCATGGCACTGGCTTGCGCACACTCCACATGCCATGACTTCTTCTTCCCCTAGTTTTCCTTTTGCCTTCCTCTTACTTCACAGGCTGGCTGTAATCCGTCCAGCTTGGTCACAGTTAGTGGGGCTGCCAACGTGCAAGAAGCTCCTCAGGTCTAGCGCCTTCTTTTCCTACTCACAGTGAGTACGCTGACTTGTGTCTGCTTTGCATAGGGCTGCCCAAAAAAAAAAGGCTTGGCAGAGGCCAAGGAACGTGGCTATCAGCCATGTGGGCGATGCTTCGGTGGCAATCGCAAACAGAAGTGAAGGAAACAGCAATTCTTGTGACGCTTGAGACACACTTGAGAAATGCTCATGATGCAGATGCAGTGGTCATCTTTGTACATAGTCAGCGGTGTGAGCCTTTGGGAACACTTCGTTGACGGATGATTGTAGATAGACTACTTGAGCTTGAACCGGATGTGGCCCAGCGTCCTTGAACTCCGCAGAGATGCATTTGTGCATCACGTGCAAACACATCATTTGGATGTGTCAATCTCGATCATTCCGCATCGACTTTGATGGCTGTGGAGCAGCCTGAACCCGCATGGAAGTATCGTGATGAGCTTCCTCACGGTAACTAGGCCGTGTCAATCCTTGAAGTGCTATCTTGAAGAGATACAGCACATGTGGTGCGCAGCATGCGCATGAGCCCGCATGAATGGCGTCCTCTTGCGTCTGTCAAGAAACATTTCGTCCCAAGCTGATCCTAGCTTGTGGATGGAGTGATCGCGTAGTGTACAGATGAGCCTAGCAGCATGGCAACACGCCATAAAACCTTAGCTACTTAGGTCTGCTACTGCAAAACGTACTCGTACTGTTGTTGATGCAAATACGAGTGCTCAAGTGCAACACGCATTTGGGCGGGGTGATCAACTTTTGTTTTCGTACTCGTACCCGTATTTTGATTGAACAGTTTGGTAGCTTTTGGACATGTAGCTTTGAGTGCATGGAATAACCATGTTACGACCGACGTATGCAGGCTCAGAGTTCGCGTGAAAGAGGATTGTTTTCAGGA